ACAGCATCAGGAAGTAATGTTACAGTCTCAGATGGTGCCAAGTTGCTTGTTTTGAAACTAGGGAAACCTGTACTCTCTATGATAGCAGTACTGTTTATGAAGATTGAGACCATGGGTTCCATGCATTGCAGTTTAATGGACATTAAATAGCTATCATAGGGAACACTGAGTTAGCTCCTGAATACATAGAGCTAACTAAGACATACCTGCTGCCTAGAGAAACCTCTTCTGCCTAGAGGAGGGGACTAACTCTGAAGCAGATAATTTCACAAATAGGGCCACTCAGTGGTCCTTCCTATTTTATCCAGCCTTTCTAAGGGGTATTTCTGCCAAAACCTATGAATGAGACCAGAACTGAGAAGCAACCTAGAGGTTGAGACATACGTAATAACTCCTGCAGAACGTACCGTTGGGTTCATTCTGATACGAATACTTGGCCTTTTATGGTCAGCTTCAATTACAGACTAGATTCTACCCCTACTCTCCTCCCTACCCCACGTACACACCACACACACCACCACCACCACCCAGTTAAAGCTTGGTTTCTCTTCGCTCCTGCAGCCTCTTGTACTCTCCGTGTCCCAGCCTCTGCCTTTCAAATTCAGGTGCCTAGCTATGTAGAAAAGGCTTTTAAACCTCTAGGAATCCCCGTAGCACTTACAGCCTCAGGACTAGTCAAGAGAATTCAGGAAGAATTCCCAAGGTAGAGTAGTTCTTTGTCTTTGTCTTTTATCTGGCCTCAGGGCCAACAGGGCAGGTTTCTGCAAGTTTCACTATTAAGCTGTTTTCCTGCAAGCAGGTTGCAAAGCAGTCTGGGAGAGTGGGAAGCAGATTAAATTAATCTCGGTGTGCTGAGCTTGGTAGGGGGGTGAGATTGTGTTTGGTCATTCCAAAAATAGCCCAGACTCCTTTGTTGCTAAGGCAGATGCTGATGTATTGCCCTACAAGACGACTGCAAAGCAAAGTTGCTGCCAGCATTTGTATATTCATAAAACACTCCCTTCTGTCCCTCAGTTCTGTCTCTCCTGTAACCTGCCCCAGAGTTATAATGGAGAATGATAGTGTCTAGTGTTATGGTGAAAGCATTTATTCATTTGTTCTCTTGCTTAATAAGAACCTTTTTTTAAACATAGATTCCAAGAAGTCTTTGCTCCCCAGAGTTAGCATTGGCCCTGTAGGCTCTGAACTGGTTGAATGGATGTTTGCTACTGTATTTGGCATAAGGAAAGAATCTGACATGAAGAATAATCCATTTCTTCCCCACCCCCCCCAATCTTGCAGTGTACATTAATAGGCACAAATCTGAGAGACAGGAAGGGTCAAGAGAAGAGTTGAGCAAGGATGAAAATCCCATAAAATTAGACAAGTATCAGAAGCTGTTGGGTGATGAATATCAGCAAAAAGTGGGAGATGGGAGTGATCCCAGAATTCAGAGAATGATGGATTAATTCTGTAGAGGTATTATAAACTAAAACAGGGCAGTCACTCATTTCTCTCCACCTGTGCTCGTAGTCAGGCATGTGACCGTGTTTAAAAGAAAAACTAAACACAAATATTAACAAGGTATCTTAGATCAGTACACTTGATACGTTAGTATTCACTGGGTACCTGACCTTGAAAGGTGTAGGCAAAGAAGACCTAGGATGATTATGAACTTGCAACCTTTTATATAAGAAATAGTTGGAAGAGCAGAGGGAGTTTGGCCTGGAAGAGAGATGATGTAGTGGGGCCATGAGTCCACACCAAGTGCACTTCTTGAGGTTTCCTACTGTGCTGGCCCCATGCTGATATCCGTTATCCCATTAGTCCTCATAGCAATACTGTCAGGTAGGCATTATTATTGTCCTCATGTTACAGCCAGAAAATCTGAGGTTCAATGAGAGGTGGGGACTTGTCCCTAATTTGCTTGAGTGATGGAGCCCTGCGTCTAAGCCAGGTCTAAGCCCGTGTTTTTGCCCATTCTGTGTGGTCTTAAGGAACAGAACCAGGGTAAATCAGTAGAAATAAGCAAAAGGTAGATGTTTGGCTGTTTATGAGGAAGAACTTTTTAATTGAACTGCCTAAGATGGGAGCAGACTACTTCAGGGGTAGTCAATTCCTTTGTCACTAGAGGTTCTCAAAACAAATGCCAGAAAATTACTTGTTGGCAGCACTGATAAGGGATTGAATCAGACTTTCTAATCTTGTTATTCTATAATCTGTAGTTCAAAAGAGAAATCAGAGAATATTGTACTAGGTCACAATTAGAAGGAAATAGAAAATATCATCATCTAAAAATAAACTTATATGGTAAGCTTTATTTTTAATATTTATTTTAATAATATATATAAATGTTATAAAAATAACATTTTTAATAATACCTAATAGCATTTATTATTTAACAGCAGAACATGAATAACATTTAACAACTTTTAATTATTAAAACACTTAATAACATTTAAAAGTGTAATTATGTGAATGTAGGCTTAAATATTTGAAATTTAAAAGCAGAGAAATTTAATTTGATTGATTTTGTAATTAACTCAGTCCTTCTAGTTATTCAGTGACAGTTAAGGAAAGATTTTTTTTTCCAGCTCCCAAACACCTTTACAATTTGGAGAGATTAATTCCAAAGGGAAATTTTTCCTTCTTTACAGAAAAGTATAAGCTGTCAAAAAATTTTTTTTCAAATGGCTATAAACCCTTAAGAGAATCTTTCTAAGTTGCTGGTGTGACTCAGACAAAAATTAATTTTAAAAAAACTCATCAATCACATCTCTTAGATGACTCCTATTCAGCTCTGAAATTTTATTAGAGTGAAATTATGGGGGTCTGAGTACTGAAGTCATGTGTCATAGCCAACTCTTTTTATCAAAAAAGATTCATCCTGGTTTATTGAGCATTAGGACTAGTAAGAAAATGAACTAGTTATAAACCTTTTCTAAAATGAGTTTATCTATATTTCTCCATGCTTCATAATTAGGCACTGAATTCCTATTCTATGGTGGAATTTTTTCATCTTTAACATGCAATAAGACCATTTTCATGTAAAATTTTATGCAAAAAATTACTGAACTAACATACTGAAATGATTTAAAAATACATAACATGAGTGCACACACACACTGTACTATGCTTAATATCAATAGGCTTGTTGCAATAAAGAAATGGCTTTTTCTTTTTTTTCTTTTTTAGGAAGTTCCAGGTTAAAGGCAACCTCAGCTGACACAGTTGGTGGTGGTAGAAAAATGGCCCTGGAAAGGGGGGTAGAGAGAGAGTTACATAAGTGAGGTGATGAGATCTTGCACCTCTAAAACAGGGAAGCAGTTCCTGAGAGGTGCTGTTGGAAGTGAAGAGGAGGCCCCTTTGCAGTGTGGCTCTGGAGCACACTTTGCGGAGCACTCTGTTGGGCCTTTCAGAGGAAGGCTAGCAGGCCCTGGAGAGGAAAACTTAGGAAAATTTGTCCATAGAGGGCAGGAGTCTATGACTGGCGAGGATCACATTCGATACGGAGCTGAGAACAGGACAAGAGGCTTGAGTAAGAGCACCGAAGCAGCAGAAATAGCATAGAAAACCTCTGCTCTACAGATGGCTTCCGTGGAAAAATATAGTGCGTGTGTATCTTAATGCGGACGCCGATAACCAGTCTCTGAATAGTCAGATCTACTGATGTATAGTGTGTACCTAGGGCTCAGCCCTCGAATTCCCTCTGCATTAATTTCTAGGGTTCAGAACTTTGACATTTCACAAGATGCTATCTCCAAGGGACCTCATGGAAGGCCCATTTAACCGCTCTCCCCCATGCCCCATCACACCCCAAGCCCAAAACTTGTTTCAGCTTTTCATTCTGGCTTTAGATGTCACCTTAAATATGTTTTCTCCTTGAATTTAGCGTTAACCTTGTTTGTCCAGATCAATATTGACCAAGGTCTTAACTCCTTAAAGACTGAATTTTTTGTCTTTTAATATGGTTGAATGTTCAGAGCACAGCTGGGAAATTAAGAAACCCCACTAGCTGATTAGCTGCATTGTCTCAGAGCTGATTATGCCACACTTGGTATACCATCCTGGAAAGGGGGGTAGAGAGAGAGTTACATAAGTGAGGTGATGAGATCTTGCACCTCTAAAACAGGGAAGCAGTTCCTGAGAGGTGCTGTTGGAAGTGAAGAGGAGGCCCCTTTGCAGTGTGGCTCTGGAGCACACTTTGCGGAGCACTCTGTTGGGCCTTTCAGAGGAAGGCTAGCAGGCCCTGGAGAGGAAAACTTAGGAAAATTTGTCCATAGAGGGCAGGAGTCTATGACTGGCGAGGATCACATTCGATACGGAGCTGAGAACAGGACAAGAGGCTTGAGTAAGAGCACCGAAGCAGCAGAAATAGCATAGAAAACCTCTGCTCTACAGATGGCTTCCGTGGAAAAATATAGTGCGTGTGTATCTTAATGCGGACGCCGATAACCAGTCTCTGAATAGTCAGATCTACTGATGTATAGTGTGTACCTAGGGCTCAGCCCTCGAATTCCCTCTGCATTAATTTCTAGGGTTCAGAACTTTGACATTTCACAAGATGCTATCTCCAAGGGACCTCATGGAAGGCCCATTTAACCGCTCTCCCCCATGCCCCATCACACCCCAAGCCCAAAACTTGTTTCAGCTTTTCATTCTGGCTTTAGATGTCACCTTAAATATGTTTTCTCCTTGAATTTAGCGTTAACCTTGTTTGTCCAGATCAATATTGACCAAGGTCTTAACTCCTTAAAGACTGAATTTTTTGTCTTTTAATATGGTTGAATGTTCAGAGCACAGCTGGGAAATTAAGAAACCCCACTAGCTGATTAGCTGCATTGTCTCAGAGCTGATTATGCCACACTTGGTATACCACCTTTAAATAGGTCATCAAGGAAGGGGACTGCTTGGTTTGTGTTGTTTGGGTCCACGGATGTTGAGTCCCTGCTCTCCTTCTACTGCCTTGGACCTGGTTCTGACCCCCCTTGTTTGTGTTTTCCTACTTTTCCCTTGTACAGAGACAGGGCAGGGCATTGTTCATGCACTGACCGACCTCAGCAGCCCCGGCATGACCTCAGGGAACGGAAACTCTGCCTCCAGCATCACCGGCACTGCCCCCCAGAATGGTGAGAATAAACCACCACAGGCCATTGTGAAACCCCAAATCCTGACGCATGTTATCGAAGGGTTTGTGATCCAGGAGGGGGCGGAGCCTTTCCCGGTACGGACTACTTCTTTTCCCCCCTTTTTTTTTTTAAGTATATTTTGGATGTATATTAGAATATTTTTACATTTCCATGTAAAATTTCCAAAAATGTGAAAAGTTTGCTCTTTCCTTGCTAATTTTTCCCCCAAAAGAATGTCAAAGCCATTTCTAGGATTGAGTGTCTTCCTAAAGTCCAGAAAGGGTCAGTGATTAGAAATAACTGGGAAGACCCCTTGGTTATAAGTTCCCACACACAGACTCAGCTGTGTCCCTGCCTGGTGATGTGTGACTCTCTTGGTTAGAGGTGGGTTCACACTGGGGTGTTTGGTGCAAGAGATGGGCTTGGGTGATGAGACCTCATTCCGTTTTAAATGCTAACACCTCTGAATGGCAAAACTTTAGCCTGTTAGAGAACAAAAGGAACCTTTGTAGAACAGAATTCTCAAGATAAGTCTGAAATGAACAAAAGCAAACAGGGTTGCAGCCTGAAGCTTCCTTTCTGGGCCAGAGCCTTGAGAGGTGAGTGAAGGAGTGAGGGGTACTTCAGTCAAATGTTTTGAATTCAAGCAGAAGACTAAGGGGAAATGGCTTATAGACCAAGCACCCAGAGCTGACTCTGTGTGAGGGGAAGGGTGAGACGGGAGGGACGACTATGTAGGTGGAAGAAGCCCAGAGCCAAGTGCACACGAGCCTCTCCTGAGATAAAATCACCTGACTGGTAGGGACATCCCATCCTCGCAGGATGCCCTCTGCCCCTTGCTCATTCTTTGGGTCCATGAGTGTTTGAATAGTTAGCAGAAGATGCTAAGCTTAGTTAACTGTAACAGGGGACCTACCCTTCTAAAATGCCTGGTCCTCCTTCCCTCTGGAGGACTCCCCCCTGGAGTACCTTAGCCATAAGTAGATCTCATCTTGTCACATCCCCTCCCTCATTAGACTGGGTGCTTCCCTTGGCCTCCTGGAGAGACACCAAAAGCCAACTGATCTTGTTCCATAGGTGCAGATTAAATGGCACCCCAGCATGGCCCTAGTGATCTGGCCATCAAGCTGCCTAGACAAAGGCAACAAAGGGAGAGCCAAGAGAATGAATAAGCCAACCTGGGGGGCTCACAGCCACACAGGGCATTTGGCCTAGAGTCCATTTTTCCTGCTCTCCTCCATGGCTGCTGGTACCTCTGGCTTTGGTAGGACAGTGGTAAGGTGGAGAAGAGTAAGACATAATAGAAAAATGGCTGCTGAGTCTGTGTGTATGCTCATGCACATGGCTTCAGCTGTGTTCTGCCTGGTGACGTGAGCTCTGTGTCCTGGCACTTGTCCTTGTGGTGTGGGAAACCTGATCTCTGCCTCCATCTCTGCCCCATAGACATTTGGAAGAGTAGATATTTTCCTAACCTCCTAAGTCGTCCATTGGTCCTGGATTGAGGTTGTCTCTGTACTTTGGTGCCCATTGGCATCTTGCCTCATGAGCTACATGGCAAAATGGGGCTTGAAGCAGGGCTCGTGGGGATGATGATATAGAGACTGGCTTCTGCACCTGGATGCTCATACATGTAATTTTGATGAGGCTGGATAGTAATGAAGTACCTTTCACCTAACCCTCATGGCCTCTATGTCACCTTGTCCTCTAGGTGGGACGTTCGTCCCTGCTGGTGGGGAATCTCAAGAAGAAGTATGCACAGGGGTTCTTGCCTGAGAAACTTCCACAGCAGGATCATACCACCACCACTGACTCCGAGATGGAGGAGCCCTATCTGCAAGGTAGGCATCTCAGACTCTGAATGCTAAGGCCTTCTGATTGGGCAGAACAGGGAGAAGGCAAGGCTGGAAAGGCAGGCCTTACAGACTTCCTTTCTTGGTATACATGGAGGAATTTTGATCCAGGGAATGTGTAAACGAAGCAGTCCACTAAACATTCCCCCCCCCCACCCCCGTCCCTCCTCAGTCCCTATCCCTAGAAAACAAGGAGGGGAGAAGTCCTACCTCTGGGGAACTGTCTGTCCCCTGCCTTTCCTCCATCCCCGTGTCAACCAATCACAGAATTCCAAGAGTTGTTTTTCGCAACACCCGGCAGGTGGCGCCCTTTCTTCATGCAGGCCTGGGGCCAGCTGGAAGGCACAGCAGTGGTCAGGTGAGGGCTGCTCCTGCCGCATGGACTGCTGCTCAGATGGGAGCTGTGTAGATTACAGAGCACCTGGGTTGTGTTATCCAAGCCAGCAGCCAACGAGACAGATCAAGGTGGGCAGGACGACTGCAGGGCAGTCAACAGCAGCATCTGGAGCACTCCCACTGGCCTTCCTGCTTGCTTCCAGGAGGGGTGCTCATTCTTCCCACCTATGTTTTGCCTCAGGCTCATAGCACTTAAAACAGTGTCCAAAGGGCACCACCAAACACATTCAGGTACTTCCCAGTGGGGAAGAAGCCCTTCCCAAAACAGAGATGAAAGCAGCTGAGCGCTTGCTAAGCTAGGCTGCTGCTGCATGTCACAGCTCTGGGAAGGCGAGGAAGAGCAGAGCAGTGGGAAGGTCTTGTGGGCGGCTGTCCACAGTCATTCTCTGCACTTAGGATTTCCATACTTTCAGAATCCAAAGAGGAGGGAGCTCCCCTCAAACTCAAGTGTGAGCTCTGTGGCCGTGTGGATTTTGCCTACAAGTTCAAGCGTTCCAAGCGCTTCTGTTCCATGGCTTGTGCAAAGAGGTGAGTGCCCTCAGTCCCTGTGCTCGTCCAGTCCCTTCCCTTTCCCGGGATTGTACGTCTGTGCTCTGCACTGCATCCTGTGCCCTTGGGTGATACTGCATCCCAACAGGCCCTCGCTGTGGCTTAGCCAGCTTGCTGTTTCCTTGGCCTGCCTGAAAGCAGCATCATGTCACTCATTCACCAAGCATGAGAAACCAGACTCCCACAAGCAGACCAGAGAGCAGACAACAGAGTCCAAGGACAGGAGTTGGTGCTTTAGCTTGGCTCGCCCACCAGCACCATCCCTGTTCCTGCCCTTGGCAGCTGCCGTCTCCGTGGGGTGAGACCTCACTGGAAGCCTTGCCTAGAACCACTGCACAGATCCAGATGTTCCCTTTGTGAGTTTTCACCCAGCTTGGAAGCCTGCAGATCACAGTAAAACCAGCATCATTTATTGAGAGCCTGCTGGGTGCTAGGTGCTGTGCTAGGCAGTGGTAGGCAGTGGATATGTACTGTGTCATCTCCAAAATAATTCTGCAAGGCAGGTATTGCATTATTCCCTTTATACGTGTTAAGTAACTGAGGCATAGAGGATAAGTAGTTACGCCTAATGTCACAGAACTGGGGGATTTCGACTCATTGACTATAAAGCCCTATGTGGTCTTTGTACCAAGGTGGAAGAGGCAGCTTGCCTCAACCCCCAAAAGAGAACTCTGTAGGCCCCCAGGGGAAGGTGCTCTGCATGCCAACTAGAGTAAGGCTGTGCTCAGCTCTTGTTCCCTTCAGTGGTGCTGGAGGCTGTCAGGCACCTTTGTGAAGCTTTGCCAAGCTACTCCAGCAGGACAATGGGCAGTCATTTCCTAGTACAGGCAGTATAGTAGGATCTGCCAACCGTGGCTCTTACTGTGATCCAAGTTGTTGTGTCAAGTGCTTACATGCATTAACTCATGTAATTGTCAGGCCAGTTTTAGAAAGCAAGTGGTCTCATCCCCAACTCCAGATAAGGAAACTGAGGCTCAGAGGTTACGTGACTTGTCCAAAGTCACACAGCTAGTAGTAAGTGATGGTCTTAGGACTGGAACAAATAGAGGGACTCAGATTTTGCCAGATAGCTCAGCTGCCCTTATTCTACCTGGGACCTATATTCCCTACAACTGCTCAGACTTCCCTTGTTCCCCTCACTCTGGCAGGTACAATGTGGGATGCACCAAACGTGTGGGGCTTTTCCACTCAGACCGGAGCAAGCTGCAGAAGACAGGAGCCACAACCCACAACCGCCGTCGGGCCAGCAAAGCCAGTCTGCCAACACTTACCAAGGATACCAAGAAGCAGGTGAGACGGCTGTCAGAGCTTGAGGCCCCATTGTCACAAGTCCCCACAAACTTCCCTTCCTTGCTGGCCCAGGACACCAGCGTTCCTTTTCTGCTGCTGACTTCAGTATACTCTGCCATGTTCTCATTTCTCATAACCTGTCAGATCAAGCCCTCCCCAAGTCCATGTGTTTGTTGATGAGCTCTGTCAGGCTCTACGGCTCTCTGCATTATGCCAAAAGAGCTCATGGGCTGGTGTGATGCTTCAGAACCGAACATGTATTCATTCCACTGCTCGTTGTTATGGTTTGGGTCAAAAACCTCTTTAACAATCTGGTGAGAATTGTGGTCCAAAATGTACAAACTCAAGAACTTTTACATGCTATTTCAGGTGCTTCTTAGACCACCCCCTGAGACCCAGGAGCCCTGGTTCAAAACCCTATGTCTAGAGGAAGCAATAGACGTATAATCAGATAACTGCAGATAACATGCTGCAATCCTGGGAGGGACTAACTCTGCTTAGGGTCAGAGATGGGATAGCACAGAAGATAATTTTGGATTTAGGGATCCAGAGATATGTGGCAGTAGACCAGGTAGAAAAGGGGGACACCTGCCTTTGCCCATCACTCTGCTAGAGATGGTTTATCCACCATCATGAAGAAACTGTTTCTCTCTGCTCCCAGCCAACAGGCGCTGCCCCCCTTTCAGTTACTGCTGCACTGCAGCTAACACACAGCCAGGAGGACTCCAGCCGTTGCTCAGATAACTCAAGCTATGAGGAACCCTTGTCACCCATCTCAGCCAGCTCATCCACCTCGCGCCGGCGACAAGGCCAGCGGGACTTGGAGCTCCCAGACATGCACATGCGGGATCTGGTGGGCATGGGACACCACTTCCTGCCAAGTGAGCCCACCAAATGGAATGTAGAAGACGTCTACGAATTTATCCGCTCTCTGCCAGGTAAGGCCCTCGGAAATTCCATGCCTGCCTGGAGTAGCAAGGAATGCGAGAAAGTGAAACCTCACCTCCCACCATCAGGAAAGGTTACTGACTCAGACTCAGTAATGGGATGCAAAGATGAGGAAGACAGGATTCCAGCCTGTAAAAGTTTAGATTGCAGCACAGAACACAAACTGTGAATGATATTCTGGAGCTGTAATTTGATATATTTACTGGCATAATAACTTGTTCATATGAAGTGAAGGAGTAGTAACACACTTAACCTTGTGTTTCTCCTGGGGCAGGTTGGGAGGGGAGTCAAGTGGGAGTGTAAGAGTATGTCAAGAATGACAGTGGACGAGCAGGCATTTGCCATATCAAGAGTTTGCATCAGGAAGCAGCTTGAGCAGAGGCATGAAGACGTGAGAGTCCATCATGTCACTGGGAACTGCACGTAACCCTGTTCAGTGGAATGCAAGTAGTTTTGAAGGCTAGAATCAGAAATGAACCTTGAAAGACAAAATCCCATCATGACTGGTGCTTTCAGGGAACCCCAAAGCTTCACAACTGTTTTTTTCTGCCCATTTCACCCCGTCACTGACCTGGTCAGGTACTGGTGGCAACCAAAAGCCTGTTACTCAGACTGGAATGTGGTATAGTAGTTAAGAGCACAGACTTCTGAGTCAGACAGAACTGGACTCAGATCCTGGCTCTGCCACTTAACCCAGCATTATCAGTTATGGCTGCATCCTCAAATTTTGTTATCACACAATCAGTGTGGGTAAGGAATTTGGGAGTGACTTAGCTGGGCAGTTCTGCCCCAGGGTCTATTGAGTGGTTGTAGTGAGACTGCCAGCCAAGGCTGAGGTCATATAAAGGCTTGCCTAGGGCTGTAGGATCCTCTAGGAGGTGCCTCACTTGCAGGACTCTCAAGTAAGGTGTGGCTATTGGCAAGAGGCCTCAGTTCCTCTCTGCTCGGGCCTCTCCAGAACATGACACAGTAGCCAGTTTCCCCCACAGATGGCGATCCAGGAGAGCAAAGTGTGAGCCACAGTGCCCTTACTGATGTAGCCTCAGAAGTCACATACTGTCACTTCTGCAATACCTTACTGGTCACATGGGTCAGCCATGTTCATTGTGTGAGGGGACTCAGGATATGACAGGGAAGCAGGAATTACTGGGAGCTGTTCAGAGGCCGGTCACCATAGTTCACCACTGGCCCTCAGTGATTCATGTCCCTCCCACACCCCCTACCAAATGAGAGGAGAGTATTTTGAGTCTCATCGCATTTCAGCAGTAGCTTGAAGTCTAGGATCTTGTCATCTAACTCAGGTCCAGGCACAGATGAGGCTCGTTGGTATCCAGCTCCTCAGTGTGATTCTTCTTAGTCTGAAGACCTGAGAACAGGAAGCAGGTTCTCCATTTCCCTCCACAAATCCGAGATATGGTGGGTCAGGAATAGGATAACCACTGTGAGCATGCCCATTCAAAATGGAAAAAATACAGAGGATACAGGAGTCACTCATCATACCAGTTCTGAAGTTGAAGAGCACATGTTGGCATTTCCTTGATCAGGTCTCAAAGCTGGGAGTGATCCTCTTTCACTCTTGGTTCCCCCCTCAGTCAAGCTTCTTTTCCCATGAAAGGAAGCCTGAGCTTGCAATGGAGCAATTTTCTCAGCCTATTCCTGCTGCTGTTTATTTTGTACTACCTTTCAGTCCAAGCAAGTAGTGTTTGTACCTGTATGATTCTCATAAGATCTTCCTGGATTTCCTATGAATCTTGTTGGGGTTCACTCCGTTAGATGAAAACTGAACCGTACCCAGAAATGTCTTCAGGAGAGGCCTTTCTCTGTTGGGCTTCTTCTGAAGCCGAAGGATCATGTCCTGACTAGTCTTAGAAGCCCTGCTGTTGAATGGAGAGGCTCTACAAGGCATGCCCACAGAATCCTGAGCCTTCTGATAAGCAGTTTTCTAAGGTAGCACCTTAGATCTTTCTGAGGTCCTAACAGATTTCAGGCATACCCTCAGTTTCATGTGTAGACCATGTTTTCTTGACTGTGTCCTGGATCTGATCTTTGTCTAGAAATCATTTCCTAATTTTAGCATCATTTGCCATTTGGAGAGATGAGGAATTTTCAAAAGTAGCACATCCTGGCTCTTTTCAGCTTAACAATTTTTCCTTTGCTTTACTTCTCTCATTTTCCTATGAGCAGCAAGAAGCTAGACAACACCTTCAACATGTTGCCTGAAAATCTTGGCTAGATCACGCAGTCCATTAGGCATCTTAAACTTACCATATTACCACCAGCAACAGTGTTGCTGAATATTTCACCATTTCATAATAAGAAATCTGTTTTCTTTCAATTTCCATTAATAGTTTTCTCACTTTCGTCATAGGCCATCAGACTTCTACTTAGTTTCTCCAAGCATCTTAGACACTCCTTAACATGATCCTCAAAGTCCTTCTAGCCCTACCCACTGTTGTTTCCAAGGCCATCCCCACATTTTTAGGGCTTTGTTATGGCAGTACCCCTCCTCTAACTACCAAAATTGGCATAAGTCTTCCATTGCTGTGAAACAAATTATCCTAAAGCTTAGTGGCTTAAAACAACAATCACATATTATTGCAAGGGTTCAGTGGGTCAGAAACATGGAGAGACGTAGCTGGGCAGTTCAGGCTTGGGTCTCCCATGAGGGCTCGCTCAAGATGCAGCCAGAGCTGCAACTCTGAAGGTTTGGAGCTGGGGGATCCACTTCTAAAGATGCCTCACTCACATGGCAGAAGTGCTGGCTGAGAGGAGGCCTCTCCCCCTGAGCAGCTGCTTGACTGTACTCACAATATGGTAGCTGGCTTACTCCAAAAAAATTATCCAGAAGAGCAAGGTAGAAGCTGCTGTGCCCTTTATGATCGCATCTAGGAAGTCACGTGCTATCACTTCCGCAGCACCTTACTGATCTCCCAGATCAGCCCAGTTCATTGAGGGGAGGGAGTCTGAACAACCACAGGCATGAATAAGGGGCCACCTTGGATAGGTCCCTTAGCCTCTTGCAAGTGGTCAGAGAACAGCAACACCTTCCTCAGTGTGTGGTTATGAGGGTAAATTTGCTGATGGGGCTGAAATGCAGTGAATGCTCATAGCTCTAATTGATGCTGTCTTCGGTGGTGTTCCCCTCAGGCTGTCAGGAGATAGCAGAGGAGTTCCGTGCCCAGGAAATTGACGGGCAAGCTCTGCTACTGCTCAAGGAGGACCATCTGATGAGTGCTATGAACATCAAGCTGGGGCCTGCCCTGAAGATCTATGCCCGCATCAGCATGCTCAAGGACTCCTAGGGCTGGCCTGGGCGGCCGGGATCCTGGCCCAGGGCTCCTCCTCCCGACTGAGCAGAGCCACACAGACATTCCTGAAGGGCCCGGTAGCGGGCCAGTCGGTGGGAAGGGGCTCTCCCTATGGGGCATGGCTGGTGAGGAGGTCTTGGCACCTCCTCAGTGGCTCTCAGGGGCCTTTCTTTCTGTGGGAGGGGCAGAGAGGTAGGTGGCACCGAAGATGGGGCTTTATGCTTGTAAATATTGATAGCACTGGCTTCCTCCAAAGTCCCAATACTCTAGCCCCGCTCTCTTCCCCTCTCTGTCCCCCATTTTCCAGGGGGTATATGGTCAGGGCTCCCCAACCTGAGTTGGGTTACTTCCAAGGGCAGCCATCAGGCCTGGATGGAGGCCTGGAAAGCCCTTGCCTGCCTTCCTCCTGCTCCTGTCTCTGGGCCTGGCTAACTGTTGCATTGCAGCTTCTCCCCCTTCAGCCTGTTTCTGAAGCAGCCTGGGGTTCTCCTGCCCCTTCACATTCTGCAGGTGGAGAGGGAGAAGCTGGGCCCGGCTCGGCCCCGCCTGCCGGCACAGACGCCTTAACGCTGTGTGTGTGACTGTGTGACGTGTGGGAGCCTGGACTGACAGATAGGCCAAGGGCCAGCTTCTGGCATCTCCAGGTGTTTTGTAGCAAACAGCCATTTAGTGCTTTGTCCTGGATTCCACTCAGCCTCAGGATGGGGAGCAGAGAAGGCAGCCTCAGTGCAGAGAGGCAAGGTCAGAAAATGGTGAGATTAGATTTTCTTTTGCAGACTCCTCAAGATGTCCGAAGCCCCGTCCCCACACTGTGAAGTCCCTTGAGTGCCCTGCTATGTCACAGACTGCATTAAGGAAGCTGTTGGTGGGCTGGGCCAGGCTGAGCCTCCTGGCTGCCCACCCCAGGAGCCCCAGAGGCTGGGCCCAGAGAGCGTCTCAGGGCAGAGAAGAGCTGGAGTGACCGTTGAGTGAGACAGGCAGCCTGGCCTCCCGCTCCCCCGCTTTGCCTCTTGAACTTGCTAGCAGCAGTTCGAGCTGCCTGCAGAGGAGGCAGGGCAGGAAGGGCGAGGGCCTGCCTCTGACCTGCCCTGTCCTCCACAGCTCCTGGGGGAGAGGGGCTCTCCCCGGGCAGAGGGTAGGCATCCTTCTTGGTTTGTTCCGTTCCCCACTCACACCCCCAGGCAGGGTTGGAAATGAAGGACTTTTTTATCCTTTTGTTTTTGTTTTTTAAAAATAAATCTGTAAAATCTATTTCTTCTGTGCCTTTCTCCTCTGGGGATGCCTGTTTCCAGTTCTGAATGGCTTCTTTTCACCCATAAAAGAGGGGTGAGCCCCTGGGTTGGGGGAGGGATGCCCAACTTAATTGGACATCATATCCTCATGCTTTGCTGGAGCCAGATCACTTGTGGACGACCTTAGTCCCAGTTCACAGGAGAAAAACAGATGCCTCCCCTTTTCTTCACTCGGGTGTCTCTCGGAGTGGGAGGGTCCAGAGCGCCATTCCCTCTGGAGACAGGACACTGTTGGGCCAGGAATATCTGGAACACTTGGGGCAGATCCCCCAGCAGGCGCCTTCAGCGGCCAGGACAGCCCCTGGGATGGCTTTGGTTCACGCAGCACTTCCTAAACACTTTTTGGATGCTGGGATAGCAAATTATAGGAGAGTCACTGTCATCGTGACTTCAAAGCCTCGGAGAAAGGAGAAAGGGCACTCCAGACCCAGGCAGCTTATGCAAAGTACAAGTGCAGGTTAGTACCATGGGAGCTGGCAGGGTTGGACGAGGTGTATGCAGCCAACAGTGGCTTGTGTTGACCTTGTACCTCTGTGAACCAGGCCTTGTGCTAGAAACAAAGCCTTTGTGGCAAACAAAAATCCCATGCTCTGCATGGAGCTTAACCTCTCCCTGTCGTCTATCCTGAGGAAAGGAGGAGAGGCAACTGGCCTCATGCTCCTTGCCCTTCCCTAGTTTTATCCTTAAGGCAGTGTTTTCTTCCTCTTGTTTAAAATGGGGGTCTGAAGCCCAAGCCCCAGCCTACTGAATTGGTCTCTAAAGGTGAGACCTGGGAAGATGAAACACTGACTTGGAAGAGCCAATACTCAAACACTGGTAAGTCCTCTTTGGAAAGCCTATTAAAATGTAGCTACTACCTGGAGGAGAAACAGGAGCCCTGTGGTGATGCCCATCCCCACCTCATCCCTGAGGAATGCAGGCTACAGTGCAGGCATACTGAGGCCTCGGTGGCTCTGGGCAGTGTCCTCACTCCAGACCTCTCTTTTCCCTTTCTGGAAGACAATGAAAACCAGGCCCCACCTGCGTTTATTTTTATGCATCTGGTGGAAAAGGAACCAAAACAACTACTAAAAGACCACAGGGTGAATTTGAGGGGACTGACCGAAATAGGAAAACATTGGTGCTATTTTACTTTGGGTGAAAGCCCCCAACCTATTTTAAGTTTGAAGAATGTGTCCTTAAATATATGTAGGTATCCCCAGCCTTTCTGAAAGTCCACATAGGCCACTTTGCTTTTACAAAAAGAGGGAAAACAGCATTCTGTGTCTGTTCTGCCGCGAGCCAGGCTTGTGCATCCCAAGCGCAGAGAGTGGCCCCACACTCCTCCTGAACTATGCTCAGCATGTCAGCATCGGGCCGCCACAGGTTTGAACTGTGTGGGCATCTGTGCTTTGTCTCCAATTTATTTTCTGCATCCCATTAGCAAAGCTGTGTCCTCAGGTATCACAAAAGCCCACGAAAGGTTATTTTTTGGGTCTGGGAAGGCTCAAAATTTTTCTGTATAAATTAATGATCATTGCTTTATGCCATTTTGGCTTACGAAAGGCTTCACAGGAACACTGCTTTCAGGGAAAGCCTGTATTTCTTCCTGTTTACACTTGACACAGAATTTTGTGAACCTTTTTTTGATCATGACCCAGTTTAAAAAAATGTTTACCACCCTTATATACATACTTACAGATCTGAAACAAGAACTTCACAAAATACCTACCTTTATGTACAATACATTCTAATATTTTATTTTCCTGTTTATACTTGTAAAATCTTGATCATGACCTTTGGAACTGATTTTCACAGCCCTATGTTGCATCACAACCTGCACTTTTAGAAACCCTGCTCAGTGTAAACTTGAGAGAATTGTTGCTTTACCCACTCTCTTTTTATGGCTCTTACACTGTCCTCAGTGATTGGTGTATGTACCCCATTTTATTGAGGAAGTAAAGATTAGCTCCTATCTAAGGTTACAATCAGGTGACCAATGCCCTTGAAATCTGGCTGAAGCTCTGTCCACAACAGGATTTTCCCTGGGTCGCAAACACCACAGCTTGGCCCGTGGACCTTTCCCAGGACCTGAAGACACTGAAGAGGGGCACATGGACTCCTAGGCAGGCAAAAGGAATCAGCACAGAAGAGCTCGGAGCCTCTGGCCTACCAGAGCTCGCCTACCACAGATCCACCTTCTTCCAGGTGACGGGCCTCAGAGCGGTCCCCAGGCCCCACCCCATTCTGGGGCCAGCCACCTCCCCCAGGCACCACGCCCCAAGCAGGTCCCTCTCAGGACAGGCCATCTGGGCGGGCTTCTCTGGTGTGGCATCTGGCAGAGGGCTGGGAGCAGCTTTGTTCCGGTCACCAGGAACAGGTCATTTCTCCCCTGGCTCAGAGCTGAGAGGGTCTTAGCAGTCTGTCCCACCACCTTCTTCACATGGCTCTAAAGGAGGGACTCAGGTGAGCGGGGACACTTGCTGGTGTGTTGGGGGAAGGTGGGGTGGGACATCTGACCTGAGAGGATCCCAGCCTGCTAGCCAGACTAGTCAAAGAGGAAGCACCCAGGCCAGCCTGCTGAGCAACAGCTGAGCTGCGGAGGTCCTGGGAGAAGGGGAGTGAGAGGAACATCACCTAAGAGGATGGTGGGCAGTGGGGTGGGGGAAGACTGCATCCTGGGCAATCTCAGAGCCTGTGAAGAACTGGGCAATCCTTGCTTCCCTTAACTCTTCTCTGGTGAGCCAGAGAACAAAGACAAAGGGGGTGTGCCCCACACTAGAACAGAGCTCTCTAGTCCCACAGCAGTGACTGTCTGGGATTGGGAACTTATTCCCACCTAAAAACTAATGGCTGATCTTTAACCCCTTCTCGAAAGTGAGGGCCTGTGGAGCAGGGCATGGGGTTGGCTTGATGGACCACCTTCTGCAGGTGGAGGGGGTCCTTTTGAAAATATCTGAGCAAGGAGTGTGGAAGAATGGGTCAGGCAGGGGCCTCTGTGAACAAAGTGCTCCCAGACTGGGGCATGGGAGGGCATGGCAGTTGCTGATAGGTACCTCCCAGACCCGACAGTTTACACTCACCTGGGCCACTTGAAAACAGCTATGCTTGGCTGCCCTGGCTGAGGCCCAGTGCCCAAGACAAGCATGGGCTTGCCTACCCTGGTTGGAAGGGGGCTGGCTAGGAGGGTCAGGACAGCAGCTGAGAGGTCCCCTCCAGCCTTTTCCTGCCCCTGCAGCACAAACGGTACCTCCCATAGTGTAGCTCCTGGGGTAGTTTTGCTTCCAGGAGCTAAAGATGCCCAGCTGCCGCCAGCCCCTCTGGAAGCTCAGCATGGAGCACAAGAGTGAGGTGAAAGACCCCTTGCAGAAGAAAAGCTGACCAGTAGGGAACGTGAGGTGGCTTGGGAGGTGCCAAGCCCATGGGGAGCAGGGCCAGGGGCCCTTGGGAGACAAGCCTCAGGGTCAAGCTGGGGCCCAGCGACAAGGAGCCCCAGTGCCATGCTCTGGCTTGGAAATCAGACCTAAGTTTAAACCGCAGATCCACCACTTACCAGCTGTGTGACCCTGAGCAAGTGATCTAGCCTTTCTGAGCCCCCGTTTCCTCATTTGTAAGGTGGAGATAAGCACAGCATCTCCTTTAAGGGACTGTGGTCAGGCGTCAATGAGATAGAGAAATCAAACACTTGGCAGAGTGTCTGCCTCAGTAAATGTCTGGGATCATTCATAACAAGTCCAGACTTAACCCTGGAGCAAATGGAGTTTAAGCGGAGAAATAACAGTTTGAGAAAGAGTGAAGAGAAGGAACCCATTCACTGCTTCATTCTCTTACTGAATAATTGATATCACCAACTATGAGGCAGGCCCTCAGTTTGGCACTGAGAATACAAAGTCTAATAAATGACACAGGACAGCCTGGTGGGGCAGACAGCTACAGAGTTTGGCAGGTGCTAGAGCAGAGGTGTGCGTGGGTACAGAGGAGCATACTGGGGCAGGGGGTGGTGGCTGGAGCAGGTCGAGAAAGCCTTCACAAAGGAGGACATTGGGTATCGAAGAAATACTCAGTTTGGTGGTGGTCGGTAGGAAAAGAGCAATACAGGCAAAGATAGATGTGGGGTAGAAGCAAAGTTGTGGCACGTTTAGGAAACTTCATGGGATCAAGAATGAGAGGCAAGTCAGGAAATGGTCACAGAAATCCAGACGGCAGACAGGGAGGCTCAGATGGCTCCTGGAGGCACAGAGAAGGGGAGCTTCGGTCTCTAAGGGAGAGGCAGAAGCCACAGCACTTGCTGACCTGATCGGCTATGTGGGGAGGGAGAAACGGTCCCACCTGAGTAACTGGGAGCAGTCACAGAACACAGAGGGAAGAGGAGATCAGAGGAAATACAAAGTGGAGCTTGAGAAGCACTTGAGTTTTAGGAGTCTTTCGGACCCAGGTGGACACAGCTGCCCAGGAGACCCGTGATTCCTGAGTTCAGTGCTCAGCAAGGGGCTGACTGGAGACAAAGACTTCACAGTCACTAGTAGAAGCCAAGGGGTGAAAGAGGATTAATGGGAATTGTAACTGAAATCCAAACCACAAGGACAAGCCATGCAAAGGGGAACAAGAAGGCTGGGGACCACAGGGCAGCAGGTGAGGGCAAGAGTGAAAGGAAAGAGACAGAGGCCGGCAGGGCCAGCGGGCACAGAGCTTTTCAGACCAGAGCTCAGGATGTGTACTGCATTCTAAGGGCAGTGAGAAGTCACTGTTAAGTCTTAAAAAGGGGAGAGGCATGTTCTAATTCACGTTTTGGAAAGATCGTTCTGGTGGGTGGATTGTTGGTGACGAGCAGACGCAGGGGGAAACAGCTGGAGGGGACTGAAAGGTGAAGGCAGGTAGGTGGACTGGGTGGGGGTTGTGGGCAAGCCCACAGGGTTTGCTGGTGGACTGCGTATGGCGGAGAGAAGGGAGGGCTCAAGGGGGACGCCGAGGTCTTCAGTTTGGGAACTAGGCGAGGTCGTCGTCATGCCATTTACCGCAGTGGAGGAGACCTGAGTGGGAGAGCAGTTAAGGAAAACTGAAGAGTTCCTTTTTGACGATATAAATTTGAAATGTCTGCGAGACATCCAAGTGGAAAGATGGGTGACACCAATGCAGCGCCCTCCCCAGTGTCCTCTGTCACTGTGCTGGTGATGCCTGGATCAGTCCCACCTGAGCCTCCAGGCAGGCTGATCAACAGAGAGACCAAGTGACTAGAGGCCTGGGACTTTTAGCCCCACCCCCCAGCCTCGGTGGGGGTGCTGAGAGCTGAAGATTGGGTAACAAAAACTCTCAACAGTGTTCAGTGAGTTTCCAGATTAGCAGATGTATCCATGTGTTGGGAGATTGGTGCACCCCAACTCCATGGGGATAGAAGCGCCTAAGCTCAGGACCTCATTCCATGTACCTTTTCATTTGGATGTTTATTTGTATCCTTTGAGATAAACCAGTAAATAAAAGTAAAATGCCTTCCTGAGTTCTTGGGCAGTTCTAACAAATTATTGAACCGGGGCAGGTTGGGGGGTGTTGGGGGGTGACAGCCAGTCAGTCAGACGTATGGGTGACTGGGATTGACAACTGGCATCTGAAGGAGAGGTGGTCTTATGGGACTGAGCTCTTTAACCTGTGGTATCTGACACAACTCCAGGAAGACAGTATCAGAATTGAACTGAATTGCTAGACATCCACCTGATGCTGGAGAACTGAACTGGTTGTTGGTATTGGAAAACACTCCAGAGGGTGCCTAGGCATAAGGGGATTCTGGGCAAGAGATGAGCATGAAGAAACAGACATCATTTTATTCTGTTAGATAACATTAAAAAACAAAATTCAACAGTAAGTTTGAAGATCTAATTGGCTTTACTTAATGATTCATGAATTGGGCAGCATCCTTTCTTAGCAAATAGAAAGGAGTTCCAAAATGGAAAGTTTTGTACAAAATGTAAAGTTCTTATAGGCAGAAGGAGGTAGTAAAATGAAGTTCCTAGCAGAGTGGATTGTTTCAGGCAAGGTCGGCTTCCTTTAGCAATAGGCAGGGGTCTCTCGGGCACTTCCCTACCGAGCTGGCCAGGTAATTGCAGATGGACTGATGAAAGGTTCCAGTCCTGCAGCAGGCTGAAACTGCAGTTAGGGGAGGTATTAAGTCTTGGTTTGCTGATGTGGGATTTACCATGAGTGACTCCATTTGGGGCCTGTTGTTTCTTTTTAAACAATAATAAAAATAACACAAACTCATCAACATGAGCCACCACCCCATGTGGCTACCAAGCACTTGAAATGTGACTAATCCCAATTGAAATATGCTGTAAATCTAAAATACACACTGGATTTAATATTTAGACTTAGTATAAAATGTTAAATACCTCAATAAGTGTACACTGATTACATGTTGAAATATTTTGGATATATTGGTTATATTAAAATATTATTAAAATTAATTATAGCTGTTTATTTGCACTTTTTTAATGTGGCCACTAGAAAATATTAACCTGTGTATGCAGCTTACATTATATTTCTATTGGACGATGCTGTTCTAGATCTTTCCCTACATGTTTATGAAAGAACACAGATATTCATGTCTATAGATGCATGGACACACAGGTAGAGATCAGCTGCCATATATCCATATTTCCTGAGTTCTTTCTTTCTCCATTTAATTCATTAGGACTTCTTTCCCAGAGCATGTAAATCTACCTCACCCTTTCTAACAGACATGTTGCTTTCCCTTGTACAGGTATGCATAATTCTTTCATCCAATCTCCTATTGATGAACCCTGGGGTTGTTTATATCTATTTGCTTTTTTCAAGCAATGCTACAAGAACATCGATGGCCTATGAAGTTCTCCACTTTTAGGGGTGGGAAAACTGGATCAGGTGTGAGCGCTTTAAAGGTGACAATTGAGGAGCCAGGTTTTGAAGCTTTCTTAGGGCTAAAAGATGTGGACTTTACCTTGCAGTCACCAAGAAGGCTCACAATGACTTGTTTTTCTAAATCGCTCACTGTATTTTTCCTTAGAAAAAGCAGTCTGAGCCATTACAGACAACAGAGGTGGGGCTGGGGGCCACCTACTCTAACTTACTGCAGAGACACCTAAGTTTTTCCTTTTAGTCTTATTCTCTGGTGCATGTTTTTATTCTCTGGTGCATGTTCTTATTCTCGCTAAATTGTAATCACAGTGCCCATCAATTTTAGAACCTGCGTTTTTCACTTAAGGTTCCTGTGTAAGCACTTTTCCCACATGACTGCAGAGTCTTCCTAACAAGTTGGTCTGGCCAGTCCCTTCCACTGGATGCCAGCCTTTTTCACCTGTATCTGTGCAGCCTACGTGCCTTCTCCACGATGCTCTCCAGCTAACGTTCAACCAAGCTCAAGTCTCCCTTGTGCACAAGAAACACACACTTCCATCAACCATAGCCTCCTAACCCCATCCAATTACCTGTCTATACAGCCAAACTTCTGGAAAGAGTCTCCTACTGCCCATGCCTCCACCACTGACCTTGGCCGCTTACCCTCTACCCACTCGGTCCCCTGCCCATTCCCATCCAAACCCTCGATGCCTGGGCCTGGCTCCTCTCCCTCTCCCCCAGGATATCCCTGCCCTCCTGGTGAATCCAGAGCTCTCTCCAGAGCCTGCCTGCCTTCTGGGCTCTAGCTCCCTACCCTCAACCAATCAGGCACTGTTTCCTTTCCCCATCCCCCAGCCCTATCCCTCTGTCCTGTGACCAAGTTCTACCCATCCCACCTTCTTGACAGCCCTTCACCACCTACTCCTCCAAATGCCCTCCACTGTCAATACCCTGGTTCATACCCCCATTACCTCCCATGGGCTGGTAGCAGCCTCTACCCTTCTTCCCCCTTCAGCCATGCCCCCCACATCCCTATATCCAGGCTCAATAGTTCAACTGGAGTACTTTTTCCCAAATAAAAACCTGGCTGCATCATTCCCTGGAAGAATTACCTTCTGGGCCTTCCCACTGGCCCTCAAGATAAGAGTCCAAACCTCTCAGCCTGGAATGAGGGCCGGATGATCTGGCCCTGGCTTACCTCCAGCTCCAATGTCCTCTGCACTCCCTATGCAGGATAAGCTGCAGTGCTATGCACCTCCCAAATTTCTCTCACCTCATTTCTGCACACTGCCATTTCCTTTGCATGGACCTCCCTTCTTCTTCCACTGCCTTCTGGATAATTTTTCATTCTTCAGGTCCTTACTTAGAGGCCACCTCCTCCAGAAAACCTCCCTGACTTCCTCCCCATCTATCAAGGCTCAGGTGCCACTCTCCAATTTGCCCTCATGACATCTTGTGTTATACTGATCACAGCCTTCACTGTGCTGTGTTCCATTCATCTGTTTGTGGACTGTCATCTGACCCATCCCTCTCTTCCTGGCCACCCACATGTTCTTGACTCCACTCCCGTAAGACAAGGTCTGTCCCGCTCTCTCTGAATCCTTGACCTAGCACACTGCTGATGCTGAGCTGTGTCCAATAAATTTAGGTTGAACGCATGAATGAGCAGAAACTAGTGAATATCTTGATACGTAAACTTCTTCCATACTGAAGATGATCTCCTTTGAACAGATTCCTAGAAGCTGGGGTGACTGAATTAAAGGGGATGAATGCCAAAAATTTCAAAATGCTGTAGCTTCCCAAACAGCTGTAGCCATTCCCACCCCCACCAGCAAGGATAAGGGCGCCTGCCTCACTGTATTCTTGCAGCTTGGCTACTTTCATTTCTTTCTTTTTAAAATGGGCTCATTTTATAGGCAAAACACCACCTTGTTCTAATTTGCATGCCTTCGATTACTAGTGAGGCAAACTAGCAGGCAAACAGTCCCCCTATCTCCCCTTGGTAAAGGCCCTTCTGCTTTGAGGAGTTACCTAGTTGTGTGACATGGACATGTTTATAAGCTGACTTTGGGGAGTGACGGGAAGCAGAGGGGCGGCTGCTGTCGTAGTCCTGGTGAGAGCTGAGCAGGCAAGGTAACTGTGGGAGCTGCAGGGACAGAGAGAGGGGAGACCGAGGAGGCTAAGTCAACCCAACCTGGAGACTGACGGCAGATGGTGGGCAAAGGCAAGGGCGAGAAGGGTCGGGGTGGCCCCAGGCTGCTGGCTTGGCCAAGTGAACAGGAGGTATGTGCCGAGATGGCACACAGATGAACACACACCCACGTGCACAACTGCAAGATGTCTCTCGGAGCTATTTACTAGATGCACCTGCTGAGGGACAGTGATGGGTAGCAGAAAAGGCAGCGGCAGGAGGGTCTGAGCAGGCAGTCTTTTTTTTTTTAATTAAGGTATCATTGATATACACTCTTATGAAGGTTTCACAAGAAAAACAATGTGGTTATTACATTCGTCCTTATTATCGAGTCCCCCCTGATACCCCATTGCAGTCATTGTCCATCAGTGTAGTAAGATGGATCAGTCTCTTCTTAAAAGAGACTGGGGAGCCAGATTTTGGAAGGACTTGTAGGTAAGGAATGGAGTTGGGAGGTCGTCCAGGGTCATGTCCAGGATCATGAGGGTCCGTTCAGGAATAATAACAAGAGCTAACATTTACTGAGCTGTTACTAGGCACAAGGCCTTCTTCTAATCAGTTGGCATGTATTAACTCAATACCCATGCCAGGCCTCCTTATCATATCACCACATGTTACAGATGGGGAGGCTGAAATGCACAGACCTAGAAACTTGCCCAAGGTCAGACAGCTAGTAAGTAAGTGGTGGACTGCGATTCAAACTCCAGGGTCTGGCCCCAGTGCCCATGCACCTCACCTTATGGTTCCCGCCTCTCTGGAGACATGGGCACACAGGAGGGCATGAGATCCCCAGGAGGCACTTTTTAACATTCTCAACTTCGGGGGCCCTTCCAAAAAACAACCAACCATGGACAAATCCCAAAGTCTGCTTCCTCTAAGGTAGGAATGGGGCCACTGCTGGAGAAACCCAACTGGAGCCACCAGAGACACACAGTCCCTGACCACAGCTGGCCCTCATGCAGCCCAGCAACTCATCCCTAAGTCCCAGACAGTGCTCAACTCCCAGCCACCAAGCCACACATTTCCCGTGTCCCCCTCCCTGTCTCTCCTCCTGTCCAAGGTCAGATCTATCTCCTACCCAATCAGGAAGGTTATCATCCCCCAAACCTGCCCAAGGTGATGCTCCACAGCCCTGCTGGGAAAAGCTAAGGGTCACACACCTAAATGATCATCAGGAGGGGCCTGGTTAGGTACATTATGCGTCTCCAGTCAGTGGCATATTAGGCAGCTGGGGGAAAAAGGTGGGGAAGCACTTTAAGTACTGAGATAGAATAACCTCAAAGACATAACAGTGGAAAATGTGGAATGTATTATCTACTGTGCTACCATTTGTGGGAGAGGGAGATAGAAAGAGGGAGAGAAGGAATCCGCTCCTCTGTGATACATGCCCGTATAGTCACAGGCCATCCCCAGAAGGGTGCACAGGAAACTAGCAGCTCTGCCACCTCCGTGCAGAGGACTCGACGGGGCCGGGAAAGGGGAAGACATTGATTGCTCTGTATAGCCTCTCTTATAACCTCTGAATGTCTTTACCATGTAGAGTATATTTGTATTCAAAAAAATCAAATGAAACATTAAACTACATAATTTTTCATTTGTGTGTATATATATATGAGTTGCTGATGCACCTCTCCACTGTCCAGGACCTGGAAGAGAATTTTCTGGTGGCTGATCCTACTTACACTTGGCTTCCTAGGGCTGCCCCTGTACAGGCTCCACATAGTCAGGTACACTTCCCCCAGCACTCGAGGGGGGACCAGCAGGGTTAGGGTTAACGTGGCTCTTCCCAAATGCCTCCTTGAGGGAGGGAGGGTGGTATCTCAGCCACACAAGTGTCCCTGTGGGCTCTCCCTCCCTGCAAGGAGCAAGTGAGGGGGCTCCTAAGATGGCTGGCTGACCTCTCTGCTGCCCCCATCCGCAGGCATCTGGAAGTGCTCATCCCCATGGGTGTCTGCCCTTCAGCCAGAATGGCCCTGCTGAGAGACAACTTCACGGGTCTCCTGCGTCCCTGGTAAGGAGCTACCATCCCTCTGGCTCTGAGAGCCCCCATATATCCTACAGAGAACCCTACCTCCCTCACATCCCCCACCTGGCAGGGCCAGGCACTCAGCCCAAGGGCCCCGCCAGGTCACACATCTCCCAAGGCTCTGTGTGGGGTCTGGGCTGGGGATTCTAGGGGCAGGAACTGGTCTGACCCATCTGTGAGTCCCTAGAGCCCAGCACTGGGGAGGTGGCAGTGAACATGCACCAACTACGTGGATGAACGGACCTGTCTCCCCATTCCTTCCCTGGTCAGGGCCCGGCCTGAAGTCCTGACCTGTACCTCCTGGGGGGCCCCCATTATTTGGGATGGCACCTTCGACCCGGATGTGGCCCAGCAACAGGCTGTACAGCAGAACCTCACCATTGGTCTGACTGTCTTTGCAGTGGGCAGGTAAGGCCTGGAGGTGGGGAGGGGTGTCCAGGTGGGGGTGGGAAGGCTGTACCTGTGGAGGAGGGAAGGGGGGCAGCAAACTGTCCTCCTGTACCACAGGATCCCAAGGGAAGCAGGAGGCAAAGACAGCATCCCTTCTCCCAGACTCCCAGGGCAAGGGCAGGACCATCCCTTCCCTTCCCCTCCTCCCTGGACACCAACACCTGGGAGCCCAGCCAGCATGGGCCGCCAGGGGCTCAGAACCATGTCCTAGAAGACAGCTGCCCAGGGGCTGGGCCAGTCCATGTGGAGGCACTGGGTCTGTGGTGAGAAAATGCTGGAGTCTCTCAGGTGAGAGTGGTGAGAGGAGGTGAGGCTAGTTGGGTAAATAGAGGGAATGGCCCCCTCGGGGTCAGGGCCTCAGGTGCAGGCACACAGATAAGGGGCAGCAGAGGGTGGGGAGAGGTGGGGGGACAGATGCTGCCAAACCGGTCTGATGGAGGGAGAGGGGCTGGGGAGCTGGGGAGCTTTGCATGGGAGGAATCTGAGCTGGTAAAGAGGGAAGTGAAGCCCTTTGTCCACCTTGACTCTGGCCCACTCCTCCCTTGAAGTGTATTAAAATAAAGCTTTCACTCTGCTTCACTTGAAAAACAAAAAGAGGGAAGTGAAGAGAGGGAGAGGGATACTGAGAAAGTGGTAAAGTCAGCAGCCCTGGGGACTCAGTGAGGTAGGACTGCTAGGGCTGGTATCACAGGAAGCGGCTGGAAGGATGCGGGCTCAGAGAGTGGGACGAGGGAGGTGGTGATTTGGGAGGGGAGACAGACTGATGATGACCAAGTGGAGGGAGTGGTCCAGGGGACAGTGAGGATGGGGAGGAGGATTCACTGCAAGGGAAGAGTCAGTGGAGGAGCTGAGGGGCCTGGGCAATGGATGGGTCCCAGGTATGGAGAAGGAGCCTGGAGTGTAGGTGAAGAATCCCAGGGGCACTGATTCCCCATTATGGATGGCAGGGGGTGGTCATGCTGGTATCCACTTTCCAGAAGTGATGCAAAGTGAACTCCTGACTGGGAGTGGTAATCAGACCCTGCCATATTCACGTAGAGACACAGGGTTCAGGGCAATTAAAAGAAGAGCCTGTAATAATGGGGCAGCTGCTTTGAGACAGTAGTGAGAACTCCGCAACCAGGAAGAGAGATCCAGAAGCCTGGGGAAGGAATTCTTTTATCAGATACCCCAGACAACTGCTCAGGGCTCTTCCAACTCTATCCCCACACTCTAGAAGGGAAAGCAAGCCAGGAGGGGGCCCCAGGGAGGCACTGGGGCAAACAGGACCAAGAGCCAACCACTGGGCAGAAGTGCTGGCCTCTCAAGGCTGTGGTGCCCTCACTTCCACTCCAGATGCTGAGTATGTCGTCCCTGCACCAGCCCTAGGGGTCAGAGGCTCCAGGTCCAGAAATTCCAGGGTGCTGAGGTCCTGACTTCCAAGGTTCCATGGACCCAACACCAGGGGATGCTGAGGCTCCCAAAACTTCTGATACCAATTTCTCACAGTTTCACCAGGAACAGACCAAGGGCAGGTCAGTGTATACGTTCCAATACCAACCTTGGAGCTTGGGTTCAAGTCCTAGCCTCACCATTTGCCAATTGTGTGTATGCTTGCACAAGTTACTAAAGCTCTTCGTGACTCAGCTTCCTCATCTGAAAAGGTGAGATCATAATAAACGATGAGGTTTCAAAGAGATAACACATATGGACTTAGAACAATCTGCACATGACAGATGTTCAAAAATATTAAGTGTTATCACTATTATTTTAGAACCCTAGGATCTCAAAGTCTGTTAACATAAAGTTTACAGTATTTCAAACGTTCCAGTTATTCATCTAAGGAGTTACCACAAACTCAATGACTTAAAACAACAGCATATTATTTATAGCTAATGATTTTGTGGGCAGAAATTCACACAGGGCTCCACAGGAAGGGCTCCCCACTGTTCCCCAGTGTCTGGCTCTCCACTGGCACCGCCCACTGCTGAAAAGACTGCAGGGCCACCTCTTTCCACACTGCCTCTCTGGGCGGCTAGCCTGAGCTTCCTTCCTCACTTCATTGCAACATCAAAGCTCTTGGACTTCTTAAGTGAAGTCTCAGAACTCTAAAGAGACAAAGGCTGATGCTGCCAGTCCACTAAAGGGCCAGCACAGCACACTACGTCTGGGGTGCTGTATTGGTCACAGAAGTCAGTGAGAGCCCATGTTCAATGGAGGGATCACAGGGCCTTCAGAGCTGCAGTGCCAAGCCATTTGCAGTCATCTTTAATCCGCCTGGAAGGTTCTGGGATTGCAGAGTTCTGGAGTTCCGGGGACTGAGCCTGCCTCACGGCCAGGAAGCCCCAGTGGGGGAGGGGAGGGGCCACGGCCGGCTGACTCGCCCACCCCGCAGGTACCTGGAGAAGTACCTGGCGCGCTTCCTGGACTCCGCCGAGCAGCACTTCATGGAGGGCCAGCGCGTGGTGTACTACGTGTTCACCGAGCGCCCGGCCGCCGTGCCCCGCATGGAGCTGGGCCCCGACCGCCGGCTGCGCGTGGAGCGCGTGGTCCGCGCGCGGCGCTGGCAGGACGTGTCCATGCAGCGCATGCGCACTCTGCACGAGGCGCTGGGCGGGCGGCTGGGCCGCGAGGCGCACTTCGTGTTCTGCATGGACGTGGACCAGCACTTCAGCAGCGCGTTCGGACCTGAGGCCCTGGCCGAGTCGGTGGCGCAGCTGCACGCCTGGCACTACCACTGGCCGCGGTGGCTGCTGCCCTTCGAGCGCGACGCTCGTTCGGCTGCCGCACTGGCCCCGGGCGACGGCGACTTCTACTACCACGCGGCCGTGTTCGGGGGCAGCGTGGCGGCGCTGCGCGGGCTGACAGCACACTGCGCGCAGGGCCTGCAGCGGGACCAGGCGCGCGGCCTCGAGGCGCGCTGGCACGACGAGAGCCATCTCAACAAGTTCTTCTGGCTGCACAAACCCGCCAAGGTGCTGTCGCCCGAGTTCTGCTGGAGCCCGGACATCGGCCAGCGGGCCGAGATTCGCCGCCCGCGCCTGCTCTGGGCGCCCAAGGAGTACGCCCTGCTGCGCCACTAGTCGCTTCGCCCTGGGTCCCCAGGAGGGCGGGAGCGGGCGTGGCAGGCAGCAGAGACCCTGGGGGCAGGGGCGTCCCTCTTGGGCGCAGCATGGCACTTTGGAGGGAGGAGAGAGATTGGTGGAAACAGCCCAACCCCTGCCAGGTGTGCCCAGCCACGGGGTGGGAGGAGGAGGCCTGGCCTTTGGGGAGTTAATCACTGAAGATCCCCTTTCCCTCACTGCAGTGGTGCCTTGGCAAGGTACCTAGGGCCCTTTCACCTCTGACATCACTGAATTCAGCTGGTGGGCCCAAAGAGATGTTTAGCCCCCTCACTGACCCCCACCCTTTTTTTGGTAAGGAGACTGAAGCACAAAAAGGAAACATAACTGCCTTCGGGCACAGGATTTCTGAGTCAATGTGTAGGGCCAGCAGCTTGAGAGCCAGCACTGGCCCACAGGCCAAACAGAGCTGCCCCTGGGCCTGAGCCACAGAGGGAGAGATGCTAGCGGCATCCGGTTTGGCCATTTCCCCTCCCCTCAAGCATATTTCATATTTAAGAAATATTATAATGAAATTACAGTTAAGAAATATTATAATAAATTATTCCAAAAGTGTTCTTATGGTCCTTTCTCCTGAAGAGTCAGAGTCCACAAAAATGACATTTCCTTGCTGTGAAGTCCATAGGGCTGTTTGGCCACGTTTCTTCACCCTGAAGGGGGTAAAACTCAGGCTTCAAACAGAAGCACGAAGTCATCAGGTGCTGCAGGAAAGGTGGTCACAGAGCCAAGGAGACAGGGAAGGTGACCCCTGGAAGCCCCTGAGAGACTGTCTGACAGTTGGGAAAACTGAGGCCCTTAGAGGGTGGGATTTCAATCCAAGTCTCCTGAATCCTTTATATAGTATTCTCATAGACTTTGCACTTCTAACAGCCTCCACTGTTCCTAGGTAGGACAGCAGTTCTGGCTAGTATTAACTCTGATAGTTTTTACAATCTTACCATTTTTACAAGCAGGTTCCAATTACTGATGATGTGAGATAAGAGAGATCTTCCCCTGGCATAGCGTAAGTTTGAAATTTTCCAGTGCGTCCTTCCAAAACTAGATTAGCAAAACCCTAAAGACCTTTGGACTCTGGATTAGAGAGAACAGGCAGGTGTGCCTAAGAACAGGTTATTGCCTGAGGACTGTGAGCTGGCACATCCCTTCCTCTAATGGGAAATGTCCCCCCACCCCACTTACATTCACTGACACTCATGCACTCATGACCCCTAGGACATGAGAGAATTGAGCAACAGCCAGTACGATCTGGAACGGAATCGCTCCTTTTCTAACTGTGGGTGACTACAAACACATTCCTTACCTTTGCTGAGTCTGTTTTCTCATTGTAAAGTGCGGCTGCCAATCTCCCTCCTTGCAGGGGTTGTCTTCTCCCTTGCGTTCTCCCTCCCCTTGCCTGCCCCTTTTCCAACAAGTTCAAGGAGCACAAAGGATTCCCCAAAGAATGGCCATTTCCTGTTTTAAGGAGGAAACGATGCCAGTCAGGGGTTTCCAGGAGCTGGCTGGGGCCGCCTGATGCTGTGGGTGGGGACCTTTCTGAAGAGGGGGAGGGGCCAAGGAAACTACCTACTCGAAGGGAGTGGACGGCGTCTTGGGAACAGCCCCCTCCTTTGTCTTACCCAAAGGCCCAGGGTGGGTGTGTTGGCAGTAGAGGGGCGTGTGGCAGAAGCAGCAATAACAAGGGGGATAAACTCCTTCTGTCACTGTCAATCAACACTCCTCAGCTCCACCTAAGCTAGAGCCCTCAGGGACAGTGGAAGTGCCTGAGGGCTTCCAGGTGAGCAGGTGAGAACCAGACTCCACAAATCTGATTGCTACATGCAAAATCTACCTGTGCCAGCGACCCCACCCTGCCATGCCAGATGCCACCATCAGAAATTCCCAAACATCATCGGCTGTCTAGTCAGGGTTCATTGATCATAAGAGATATTGATCCACCATGGCTACATCAAATAATAACAGTACCATCAATTACATTTATTGGGTACTTATGTGCCAGGAAGAGTCCTAAGCATTAAACATATATTGGTTCATTTGGTCCTCACATCCACCCTATAAATTGGTTACCATTATTTCCCTCATTTTATATATGAGAAAGTCAGGCACGAAGAGGTTAAATAACTTACCAATGTCACACTACTAGCAACTGAAGTTCACTAATGGGAGCACAAGCAGGAAATTAAACCTGGCCAGAGACGGAGACAGAAAGTCAGGAACCAGTTGTCCCTGGTTCTTGGTCTCCTCTGTCCATGTCAACTTCTCTCTGCCTCCTTCGTCCTTACGTTCATGTGTCTGGTCCAGCACAGTCACCCCAACCCCATTCCACAGCCTTCCAGTTCAGGTGCCCACCATCTCCTCACTTCTTCCTAATTTATGGAATGGAGACTGATTCAACAGTCAGGCCCCGGTGTGCTGGTAAATGCTTAGCAACTGGTTCTTTGAGGGAACAGAAAGCCCACGTTTGTAGTGTTTGCTATTATCCCATGATGTTTTCACAATCTGATTTCAAGTTGTAGTTTGATTTCAAACCAGGATGCTGATTCAAACCGTTGCTGATTTCAAACCAGGACGCTGAGTGTGGAGTTGGGAAGTGATCCACCCAATCGGATCCAGGAGCCAGCACACACCAATGGCACCACTGGCCTAAGAATCAGGTCACTGAGTCAGGTGCCCACCCCTGGTCAATCAGCGGTGGCTGGGATAGGGTCACAGGACACAAACAGGAGCCCGTCCCTTCAGGGCACAGCAGGCTATGAGAGGTCAATTTCAGAGAAAGAGATGAGGCCTGTAGGATTACTCAAGACATGTCCCTACCTCCTCCACTCCCATTTCCCCTTCTGATGGTAACACCTGCTGGTCTCCTCTTGGGGAGATGGACTTCCGATGGGGGTTCACTGTCTGCTCCAGGCTCAGAGCTGGAGGACAGACATTCAAGCCAGTCAGTACAGACATGCTGGTCAGTGATGGGTTCAGGGATGGTCCCTAGCCCAGTCCAAACCAGGAAGAACCAGTTAGACTCTTGCTGGGGCTTCTGGGAGAGATACAGAGGTTTGCCTGCTGGAAACCTGGGGGTGTGAGACTGGAGCTGCTGACCCTGCTGGGAGCCTGAGAATGAAGCTGACTCAGAATCAAGCCAAGTGGAGAACTAGAGACAGATAACGAGCCCTGAGGCTGGCTGGAGCCCTGCACTGTCCTGTTACATAAGCCAATGACTCCTCATTTGGAGCGGGCTTTCTATCACTTAGGGCCAAGTGCTGACACACACAAGGACTGTGAGCTCTCAGATGACTGAGTTCCCAATGGTGAGATCGACAGTGGCTCCTGACTGAGTCACTTGTCTTTCCCTCGATGTGAGCACAGGGCCAGCCTTGATCTATTTTAGAGGAACTGATACCTGCATTTCCCTCCTAGGCTATCAAAATGTTGGCACCCCCATGGCGACAATGTATGTGAAGGGGACTTGGTCCCCTCAATCACTGGAATAGCTTTCACAAAGCAGGGCACTCATGACGGATCCCCAAAGATCCCCAAAGTGGCTGCCCTTCTGGGAACAGGGGCAGTGAACCTCACTGGTGGACCCCAAACATGTAAAAAGCCTTCAGGAACTGCACACCTGGGTTAAATTTAGGTCCCTGCCACTTAAATGGCAGCAGGATCCTTAGCGAGAAACCTCCCCTGGGTTGCTGCCCACTTCATAGGGAGTGGTGAGGTGATCAACACCATGCACTTGGCGCAGCAGCTGGAGCGAGGCTGGCCCACCAGGAAGGGCCATGTCCCTTCTTCCCCAAGTCTGGGGGGCGGGGGAGGGGAGAGGAGCAGTGGAAAGGTGCCCCCCAGCCCCGGCCTCGCACAGAGCACGCCACACACGGCCGCCACCCGGGTGCAGGTACAGTTTATTCTTCACAACAGAGAAATACAAAGAGCAGAGGTTTGAAATTCCTTCGTTTCTTGCCCCCTTTCGTGTCTTCCCCCACATTTGATTTTTATTTTGCTACCCACCCCTTGTCTTAAATATAATGCATACTTCTTTCCTGAAGCATTGAGCGGCACCTGCCCTCACCTCCCTGCCACCAAGATGCAGACTGAGAAGCCAACAGACTGTTTTCTCTTTTTTAATAAGGTAACTAGTTCTAAATATGGTGGCCTGGAGGTCCCATAGGAAAAAGCAAAGGGGTGTTAACAGTATGTTTAACAGCATATTTACAGGATAGTAACATGCGGACAAAAAGCTACAATACTGAGTATCAGACGACGCAAGTCAAACAAAGGGGTGGGGGTGGGGGCAGAGAACCCCCTGGGAAAAGAAACCCCAGGAAACGTTGAACTGGTAAATCAATGGCGAGTTAAGGCTTAAAAAGTGTATAAAAATAACACAGTTAATATTCAAAACGGAACTCCAGATACAGAATATATAGATGAGTTTCTGTCTAGTTTTTTTTTTCCCGGGGGATGTAGGGGGCTTCTCCGGGCTCTGTACATAGTTCCTATATACACGGACACGCATGGCTTTCAGATTGGGGTGTGTCTGTGGGGGCTGAGGCAGGGCCTGCTCCTGGACCCCTCCTCCCTACCGAGGGGTGGGAGGCCTGGGCTGGGGAGCCCCCTCCATGGCAGGGAAGACAAATAACCCCTCCCTGGGCTCTGCCCTATCTGGAGGAAATTCTGGAGGGGGCGATCCTAACCCCAGGCCCACTCCCTCCCCATCCCCCTGCCACGGCCTGGGATGACGGGAGAGGTAGCCAATAGGTTTCCTGGCCAGCACCGAGGTAGACTGGGGTGGTCTTCAGGACAGCGAGGGGCCAGGTCTTACCCAGCCAACCCCCACCCCATTTCCCTGGACCTGTGCCCAGCCCAGTCCAGCATGGCACCCTTTGGTCCTGTGGATGTGGATCTCCCAGCCCCTCTCTGGCTCACCTCCGGAAGCCTGGGCAGCCCTGGTAGCTGCCACATCCTTCTGCCCAGTGATGCCCAGGGCTCAGCTCGAGAGGTTCAAGCTGGGCACCCAGGGGTGAGTGGCTCACTCCAGCCGCCTCCTGCCCCCTCCCACCTGGGGGACCCCTTTGCAGTCCAGAAACTCGGGCTTGAGGCCGAGGCAAGAGAAGGTCCCACACTGCCCTCTGGTTCTCTGTGTCCATCTGTCCGATTCTTTTCATTTCTCGGTCTTAGCAGCACCAACTTCTTGGCCAATAAATATCTTTTTGTAATTTCCAAAACAAACAAAAAAAAAAAACAAAAACAGTGAAGCAAGTGAAGGTTGGGGAACAAAAAGAAAACCCAACAGAGAGGTTCAAAGTGCTCTGAGATCGTCTTTGGATGCCACCAGAACAGTCCAGAATCTTGCAGTTGGCCGGGCTGCCCACGGAGCTGGACTGGGCAGGGCTTTGTGGCCCAGGCTTTCTGGAAGTTCAGGAAGGTCATGAGAGAGCTCGGCTGTTCCTGGAGGGCCCCTGGAGGGAGCTGGGGCCTGGTGCTGCCTGGGTCTGTGACTGCCAGTGGGCAGGGCAGGGCGGCGCCTTGGGTCGGCTCAGATGAGGGAAATTCGCACCGGGATGCCCGGGGACTCGGTCCTCTGGGGCGAGTGATGGCTCACCAAGTGCTCCACCACTGTGTGTTTGGACATGTGCTTCATCAGGTAGGTCTCCTGTGGGCAGGGGTGAGATTCAGACACAGAACCAACTGCCGGCAAGGGATGCTGCAGAGGCTGCAGTTCCCAAAAGTGGCCACTGGAGGGCTCCTGGCAGGGGGGCCACCTAGCCTGGAGCAGCAGTGGCTTTGTGGGGGTCAGATGGGTACCAGGCATCGGGTCCAGGGATGCTGCACTGACACCCGGGGTGGGTGCAGGCTCATTTACCGGAGTCTGGGCCCATGGCATGTTGGCGGGAGAGGTGGTAGGCACTAAGTTCACCACTCAGCAATGCCCACCTGGAACTCCCCAGGGCCAGGACAGTGCCATTTACCAATAGGCTCTCATGGGGTCTGCTGGCTGGCCCTCAGCCCGCCTGCCAGACTGAGCATAGCTGCCCCTATCTGGCTGGTGCTCCCAGTGAGAGAGAAGCAGTCAGCCTCCATTTGAACTCAGGCTGCCATCTCTTAGTGGTGCAGCCTCAGACAAGCTCCCGTCTCCAGACCTCAGCTTCCTCCTCTGTAAGGAACAACCTCAAAGGCTGCTATTGTGATGTGGATGAAGCGCTCAGCATGCATCAAGGGTTGAGGGGACTACTCCTTCCCCAGTGTCCACCTTTCATTCCAGGTGGTGGGCCTCTGTACCCCCACACGCCATCCTCTCCTGGGTAGAAGCCAGGCCTGACTGGATTGGTGACTCTGAGAAGCACACACTGGGCATGCTCAGCTCACCCCTTGAAGCCCCCACAGGCTCTGCAAAATCTGACCTGAGGTACCCATGCCTGGGTGGGCGAGGTGACCCAAGGGCTCACCTGCAGGCCCCAGGCCCTCACACTAAGCTGCAAGGTGACAGAGCATTTGGTGAGCCACCTCTCACCCGGGAGGAGGGGGTCCCTGGATTCCAACCTCAGTCTTTTCAGAATCCGGTGGAGGAAGCCCTCAAATAAGGTGGCAACAGTCTATCAAACAACACCACAGGGAAGCGATTGGAAATCCAAACTAGGAAACTACCTTTAGTGAAAAAGTTACCATGAAAAAAGGGTGGGGTGTGTGTGACCAATAGATTAAAAGATATACTAACCCAGTATAAGGGAGGCATCTTATTTGGACCTTGACTACAAAATCAATTTGTAAGTAACTAAAATTATGGCATTCGTGAGACAAATGACAATGTGAATGCTGACTGGGTATTTGATGACACTAAGGCCTTACAGTGAATTATTTTAAGGTATTGTAAAGGTATTGTGGATTGTTCTTTTAAAGGTGTCCTTAATGTTTGGAGACAGAGAGTGAACATTTTCAGGTGAAACATTATAATTTCAGTTTTACTTAAAAAACAAGGGATATGGATGAGGCAGGATTGGCTGACAATTCTGGGGGCTGATGAGGACATGAAGGCTTGCTATTCAAAAATGTTTGTTTTATGTATTAGAGTGGTTTAAAAAATTAATCCATTAACATGCTTTTTTTAAAAAAGTAAGTATTCTTATTCTATTGAGTCCAAGCAGGCCCAGTTCAGGGTGAGGCCTCAGGCCAGGTGAGCTCTGACACCCTGTCCCTCCAGAGTCCTGACAGACTCCAACAACCACAGCCGTGCACACGGTGGCCTCCTCTGAGAATAGGTGCATGTAGGGCAGTGTTGAGAGCTTGAGGCCAGGACTGACTGTGAGCCAGCTGAGCAGGCCTCCTAGGTCTCAGGGGTCCCCCACATACTCCCTTGAGGCCCTCATCCCTGGAGCTCTGTCCTCTTAGTCTCTCAACCCTCTGCCCTTTGAACTCCACAGAAGGATCTACTTTCCGTCAGCAAGCAGTAGCCCTGGCTGGCGCCTGACAGATACTGCTGTTCACCGCAGCTGTGATCCATGCACCCCCTCCAGCTAGCATGACTTTTTAAATATACCCTCCCAAATGGTCCCCATTGGCTTCCCACTCCACCTGGAAAAATACCCAAACTCCCTAACAGGGTCCCCAAACCCTGTGTGACCTAATTTTCTTTCAGTTCCTGGAACACACCATATTTGTTCTACCTCAGGATGTTTGCATTTACTGTTCCCCTGCAGAGAAGGTTCTTCCCACTCCTTCACCTCCTCACCTGGCCTATTACCCTTCAAGGCTTCATCTAAATGTTACTTTCTCAGATTGCCTGCCCACACCTCTCTCTCCCTTTCCCAACTCCATTTCGTCCTCCCTGCAGCTATTCGTCAGCAGCTATTCGTCAAAACGTATTTTTCCCCAATAGCAGTAGTTCTCCATCAGAGGCAATTTCACCCCTGGGGACACCAGGCAATATCTGGAGCCATTCTTAGTTGTCACAACTCGGGGAGGAGATTGCTAGTGGGCAGAGAGAGGCCAAGGATGTCACTAAATATTCTACAGTGCACAGGGCAGGCTCCCAGCAGAAAGATATCCTGCAGACACATCAACATTGAGAAACACTGTGTAACTACAATTTGTTATCACATATTTATTTGTGTGGTTACTTGTTTTATTATCTGTCTCCAGCAGAAAACTTCAACCTCCGTGGGGGCAAAGAATATGTCAAAAGATTCATCCTGATTCCCAAGCACCTGGCATGAGTGTTCAGTAAACACTGAGTTAATAAATAATTGTGTTACCTAACGTTTTCCAGGTGCTGACTGTGCCAGCCAGCAGCCCTATGAGTTAGGAACTGTTACCTCCTCCATTGTACCTGAGGTCAGTGATGTCTACCTGGTTATACATAGAGGTCTGTTAACCAAAATATTTGATTAGCCAGAAGCACACACACATGTCTCACCTAGACTCCTTCTTCTATGTGCTGAAAGACCCTTGTTTAGGGAAATTCCCACCCAGGAACAGGGGCTGGAGGAGATGGATGACCTTTCTGGTGCGATTTAGGCCTTTCCAGAGATGAGGGTGGCTTTGGGCCGGGTCACCGCGCCACCTTGTGGCCATGATGGGGATTGCGGCTTCCCTGTGGTGAGGCCCTTCTCGCTCCCTGGCTCTGGAGAGCAGGGTGCCAGATCCCCTCCCCTGCCCACCCCTCCACTGCCATATGTGTTCCAGTTCTTGGTGGAAACTATGCTTGGGAAACCGAGACTAAAGGCCCTCACAAGGCTGGGAGCTTGGGCCGGAGCAGCCAAAAGCAGACACGGGTAGCGGAGACGGGAAGGAAGAGCCCCAACGGGGCACTCACCGAGGTGTAGGCCCGCCCGCACATGCTGCAGCAGTAGGCCTTGGCGTGCTTGACGGCGTGCGCGGAGAGGTGGATCTGCAGGGAGGCGGAGTCCGCATAGGCCCGGTAGCAGTTGGGACACTTATAGGGCTTGTCCTTGTTGTGCTGGCGCTGGTGAGACTGGGGGAACACAGCAGGGGTCAGGAGGCACGCAGGGCTCCCCAGCCCCACCCACTTCTCATGCTCCCTTGCGCGGGGAAGGCGGCGGTGCACTCACCTGGAGGTTGGAGAGCTGAGTGAAAGCCTTTTCGCAGCCAGGATGTGGGCACTTGTAGGGTCTGTCGCCTGTGTGAATTCTGCAGTGGGCAGCCCAGTGAGGTGCGGTCCCTGACAGATCCCCCTAGGCTAGCTCCAACCCCCAAGCCCACGGCTGGCCTGTACCATACCTCTGGTCCTCAAGCTTCCCAGGCTCCAATGCACACACTCTCCCCACAGTGGGCCCCAGGTAAGAGCTAGGGACATCAAAGACCAGCCCTTCTTCCTTCTCTGGTCTGTGACCAGAGCTTCCCTGCTCCCCACAGGTCCCTGCTGAACCCAACCCCACCCAGCACCCACTCAGACACCTTACCCAGGCCGCCAGCTAACCATGGGGGCTGACTCTGGCTGCTTTCTGTCCCTCTCTTCTAAATAACCCACCTGCAGACCACCACTGACCAGATTCACAGCCTCGCCAGGAACTTCCCTGCCCACTGGGCCTCTTTTCCTCAGGAGACAGCTCCCTGTGACCAGCCCCCAATTTCTATTTCCTGCCCCTTTCCATGTCAGGCACACATCCATGATGGCTAATCATGCCCCCAGCTACTGAGAGAACACAGGACAGGATGCGCCTGAATGCCAGCCCCTCTGTGTCCTTCCTGTGAGCCCCTTCTGTCCCTCCTTCTGGGTTCTCATCCTGGCTCCTCCGTCTATCTGGGTGACCTTGGGTGAACCACTGAGCCTTGGATTCCTCATCTGCAAAATGGGTATAAAAGTGTGCACTACCTCTTTTGTCAAGGTTACATTAAATAATACCTGTATAGCCAAGTGTTGGCATAACGTCAGCACTCAATAAACACTTGCCAGCATTATTATCATTCATTCATTCATTCAACATTTATTACATCAGGTACCCGTGTGCCATGCACCATGCTGGATACTTGGAATATATCAGTGAACAAAACAGACAAAGCCATTACCTTGAGGAAACAATGAGCCTGAAATAAGTAAGTACATCACTCGTGGAAGGTAGTGAGTGTGTGAGAAGAGAACCAAGCGACGGGGAGCAGGAGTGCCAGGGAGGGCAGGGTGTGATTTTAAACAGGCATTGGGGTGGGGGCTCCCTGAGAGAGGGGCTTTGAGCGATGACTTGAAGGCTGATGGCTGTTTTCCGTTCAAGTCTGTGTTGCAGTGTGTGCTTGTCTGACAGCCCAGGTGAGGGTGGACATGGGCTGAGATGAAATGCACGGATGGAGCTCAGGAGCCTGGCGCCCTGATGGGAGGACCTCCCTGCTCTTCACGCGAGCCTCTTACTTTCAGCTCGGCTTGTCGTCCATCACCTACTCTGGCAAATCCTCTATGCCAAGCAGGTGGGCAGTGACAGGCCAGCTGGGCTGACCCTTGTTTGCTGCTTTGCTGATGAGTGTCAGGTGTTAGGAGAATCAGCTCTGACTGCAGGGTCGGCTCCTTCCCTGACACCCTAGCCCACCTCTCAGCTGGGTTTGCTCTGCTTGTCAAAACTCATCAGACGCACTAAGGTCCTTCTGGCCAGGCGCCACGCTGACATGCTTGAATAACGAACACATCCTGCTGTCAGCCCACGACATCGGCCGCCCACTATCAACAGGGACAGAGTCCAAATTCCCTAGCATATCATTCAAGGCCCTCCGCTGGGTGTGCCCGCCTCACCTCCCCACTCCTACGCATCCTACATTCTGGTCAGAGATGCGTTTCTCTTTGGGCAGCCAAGTCTGATGGCTCTGCCCACCACACCTGTGTCCTGGCCGAGTCCTCAGCAAGGGAAGGTGATGTCCTCTGGCTTCTCTACTAGTCAGAGAATCTGAGGGCAAGGACAGGGCCCTGGCTCAGGTGCAAGGCCCAGGGCCCAGCACACAGGCTGCGTTGGGACTTGCCAGGTGGAGCTGGGCTGGCCTGGTTCTGAGAATCCCTCTTCTACCTGTGTACTTCTAGTGTCACAGGTTTGGGGACATTATTCCAGCTACTGCACCGTCTCTACAACAGAAGGGCCTTAAGGATCATCTGGACCCACTCTGCCTGATGCCAGAACCCCTCCATTTCGTCCCATCCGCACTCCCCTCCATGGCTGAAGCATTCGTTCAGCCAGGGGTAGGTGGCAGAGGGGACTGAGGGACCACAGGACATGCACCCACCCCAGTAGTCCTCGCCTCCCCCTGCTGCCCCTCTCTGCCCCAAAGTTCCCGCACACCGTCCCCCTCCCCTGGCTCTGCTAGTGGTTCAAGTCCCCTCCCGTCTCCAGTCCTTCATCCAGCTGTGCCCTCTTCCAGGTGCACTTTGCCCTCAACTAACACATGGCTAAAACCATACTCCTGTTCTCAGCATAAAAGCCCGGATCAGGGCAGCCTCTCCCGACCCCCAGACCTGGGTCCTGCAGCACTTCCCCAGCAGAGGCGTGTGGCTGCATGTTGTCACTGCACACTCTTCCTGGCTGTCTCTGGAGAGCAAGAGCTCCCTTAGTCTCATTCACCGCCATCACCTCAAGGCCCCATACGGGCTCAGCAGAGAAGACGTGCCATATAGTCATAGACTGAATGAAGGCAAGTAAGTTATTTCTGAAGTCTGTCATTGACAATAGTAATATGCTTAACTAATCAACAGTGTCCATTCTTCAGCTTTATTTCACAAGTGTTTGTTGACTGACAGCCCTCCAGGGACTTCAGGTCTTCCCTCAGGGACCCGGCCAAGCCCTCCTGACCAGGAGACTCCCGCTCTGGTCTCCTCCAGTCCAAGTGCCAGGCCTCCTCCCTGGACTCCCAGCCTCAGCCTCTCCCTCCATGACCTCTGCCACAGCAGCAGCACAGGGAGCTGACCTTGTCACGACCCTGCTTGACAACCTTCACTGTCTCCCCTTTCCCAGGACAGAGTCCAAACTCCCAGTTCCAGCATTCAAGGCCTCTGTCTCTAAAGCCTCCTCCTCCGTCACTGCTCTTCCTAAAGGGTATCTCCCCAACCTCCCCCTAACACAGATAGGACATATCCCCCAGGAGGCCTCTGAGCTTTGTTTATGCCATTCCCCCTACCAGGAACACCTTCCCCCTCACTAGGGAGGGCCATGGACCCTTCAACACCTGGCCGGGAGGATGCTCTCCAACCTCCACCACCATGTACTTTCCTCCTGCATGGAAGTTTCTGTATCCGCCAGCCTCCTGGGTCACAGTGAGAGCTCCTCTGGGCCAGAGCCTGCCTCTGGCCACTGGTTTATCTCTGTGTGAGCCACTGAGCACTGGACTGGCTCAGAAGGGGCTTCAGGAATGACTGTGGAGAAATGAAGGGCCAGGCCACTGCTCCCACTGGTACCTATCCCAAAGCTCTTCAAGTCAAGACCAAGCCCTCGATTCCAACATTAGAATCCTCCTCTGCTGGGCTCCTTCCCACTGGGGGAGCACCCAGCCCCGGCTCCCACATCTGCAGCGGTGGGGAGCTCACCGGGGTCTCCAGCAGCACAAGGAAGTGCAGCTAAAATGGTACCCGTGGGCTGCTCCTCACCCCTACTGCCCCAGGGCCCCAGACTCGCTCTGCAGCCCTGCCTGGCACCTCCACCCCAGCGGGAGCTGCTTCTGCAGCCTGATATCCCCAGCTCCTTCCTTCCTCTGACACACACGCTGCTCCTGAGTGCTCTGGGCTCCAAGCTTGCTTCCGCCTCCTCTTAGCAGAGTGACCTGGGGCAAGTGACACTGCTTCCCTGAGCCCCCGTTTCCTCATCTCTAAAACAGGAATAATAATGATTGTAAAGACCGTAAGGATTCAATGGCATATAAAGAGTGCTCATAAGGTATTTTTGCAGTTTTTTAATACATTTCTATTTAAGATAAACAATTTATATAGAACAACAAGGGAATTTATTCACTGTTTAAATAAAATGATTGAGGATTCACTAGTTATCATTTTTCTTTTATTTCCCAGGTAATAAGTAGCACATGATATTGAATGGCTTCAGTCATGCTGTGCTTTGCGACTAAAACAATGGTGGATACAGTCAAAGTGAACCTTCCTCGAGATGATTCCCTCTCCGTGGCATTTTTCAGACTTGTTATCTCTTGCTTAGAAAGGCAGTCACACTGTATGAGGGCTTTACGGACACCTTGTATATATACACCTTATGCAGTCAGGTGCACAGGCACCCTTCAATAAGGAATACTTTTGTTATGATTTTATTATGATTACTCCCATCAGACTTGTGAAAACAGAATGACACCCGCCCCGGCCAAGATGATCATTACATGTGTACACAACCTCACACAGCCAGGACAAGGAAACCGGAAGCATAAAACACTTTGCAGCCTGAATAATCAAACAAACCCAGAGTCACTTTGTCCAGAACAAGTTCCCCAAACGGATAAAACTAGATGCCTTTCCTGTACATATCTCACTAACTCTGACCAAACGGTGTCATCCCACCATTGGCATCTGATATCTGCAGATATGTGGTCTGATTCACATGCTAACTGCATGAGACAACTGCTGTTTTTCTAAGATGAACAGACTCACTACAAAGTTCTGTTTATTTTCTCTTTAACTACATATGGTATTTATTATTTCCTGGGCTGATCCTTCCGAAGTTGGACTTCTACGACACTGCCCGTCACCTGCTTTTCTTTACCTGTTGTGCCTTCCTTTCCCAGATGGAGGTCCCACCAAGGTGCCCAGATGCACCAGAACCACTGAACTTGACCCCCAAATGCTCCCCAGCACATCTTCCCCTACAGCCAAGGTGAATCTTGTTTAACTTGTTTCTAACTCCATTTCTGCTACAGAGCTGGCTCAGTTTTGGATATGACCTTCCTCTATGCCCTTCATTATTGGAAGCAACCCTTGGAAAGGTGGATTTGATTAGATTCCCTGATTGTCTGGTTCTCTACCAAAGGGCAAAAAACTGGAAAGAGTCTCTGTGGAACAGCAGAAAACATGGAACCTGGAATCTGGTTGCTTCATTACATTTGGCTTTTTTGTTTTTTAGCCTGAAGGATTCTGGGATTTGGGGGCATTTGGACTACCCACCCCTTTATCACTGGGTTAGGAATGTGCCACTGCCTAATTAATAATTTGTCTCTAACATTAATATGATCCTCTGATGTTGCTTGTATGGTTTCCCACCATTACCAACTCAAAGCACTCAATAGAAAAAAAAGGGAGGCAAAAATCTGTCCCCTTGGGAATAGACAACAATGCCCGGGTCAAAGAACATTCTGACAAAATACCCTCCTTTTCAAGCACCTGTTAACTTTCTGTTGCCTTTTTGTTGTGGTCCTAAATAATATTCATAAACAAAGGTCTACTTTAGAAAAGGTTAGGATTCTTAGTAATTATCATTACTGGCTACTGTGTTTATTTTCTACTAAACAAATGCTCACACCTTGCCTACGTTGCCAACTGCCTTTCTCAAATTCAGGCCCCAAATTCAGAAAAATTAAATTATTGAGATATCTTTTACATTCAAATGCTCTTCAAGTTTCCAGGTGGCCACTGGGCAACACCAAAGATTTCCTCTTTTGCTTTATAAAAAGAGGGGTTTTCCGAATCATTGGGCATGTTTTGTATTCTCTGTATTTTTAATCAGCTGAACACCAGAGAGCTGTCCTATCAAGTTTCTAGCATCAAAGGCAGAGAAGCTCAATCTCCCTGCGTTCATTTTATGTTAACTGTAGGTATAGATATGTTTTTTACATATTTATGTTTATCATATGTATAATGTATGTAATTGTATATAACATAAATATAATATGTAGTATATCTCATATAAGTGTGTATATATATATATATATATATATATATATATGTACTTCTTAAGATGGAGGAAAAAACCCAACTTCTCTCCATGTACAGTAAGAATAAAAAAGAAACGTCCTTCAAAAGATTTTTCTAGATGAAACTACACTCATCAATTAGTGACAGACAGCTTTATGAAATAAATCAAAAGACCCTGCACCTGGGTCTTCCCTCCTCACACTGGCTTAAGGCCTGTGCTTCAGGGCAGAATTGAGTCTTCTGAAAGAAACATCATGAAATGACCGCCTCAGGAAAGGGCTGCACCACCTGCTTTTGGCTCTTTACCCTTCCGGGAATAGATGCCGAGCACAGGCTTCCAAGCTGACACCATCACCAGGACCAGACACTGCCCAAGGCCAAGGCAGGATCCGAGGGTCTTTGGTCCAGAAGCAAACAACTGCAAAGCAGACTAACTACCCAAGATCAGCGCAACAGGAATTACGACCTAGGAGTGGATGAAACTGATTTAATTGTGGTTAATGTTCTATTTTCTAAAGGGCATATGAGAAAATCCTTTTCATCTTTGATCTATCCCTAATCCTCAACTTAGTCGGCTGTATTTGAACTAACTGGAATAAAGTATTTCTTAAATGGTGCCTTGTTCCAACTAACTCTCTATAATTCTGGACAGTAAAAAAAAAAATGAAGAACTTAACATCCATATAAACTCATGCATTATCAAGGAACTCAAAATAAGAGTGCTATTGAAAACAACATAGGTAACTGACCTCATCTACAGACCCACTCAGAACAATTGCTTAAAAAATATACAAAGTGCCTTCCTGACACCCTTTTCTTGTCATGACCTTTAGTTCTGTAAATAGGTTAAATAAGAATCTATCCTTCTTCCTAACAGGATATAATTGGGTAAATCAAATTTGTAACCATGACCATGCCAGAAACATCACGTTTAAAGACATATTTCATTTAATTAGGCATGACAAGCCTGATAGTAAGAAACAAGATCTGTACTTCACATGTGGGAATGAAGCCTCCCCAGGCCTCCAGGAAACTGGACTGATTTGCTCCATGGCTTGTGGAATCCCAGCCTTAAAGGTTATGGAACAAAGTCATTCATGCTAGCCCAGAAATAATGACAAACTTGCAGATTTTCCCAAAAGACGGTACCCTTCCCATTACAGGTTGTATAGGCACAACTGACAGGTGAATTGGATGGTTCTAGGTTCCTGACCTTAGATAATAAAAGAAAGTTGTCTGCACACACATATACACATTAAAAGTATGACCCAGGGGCTATACAAAGCCTCCTGATTGAAATTAACCCTCAAACCTTAGTACCACGTGATCGAATTTAAATAACCCTACAGCCAGGAGGACTTCATTTATTAATCAACATCTCATTACATACACCTGTGTACATAAAACTGGCCCAACTTACAAAAATCAAAGTTGTGACGGGAGTCAGAAAATTGCTGAAACAAACTTATGTGGTCAAATCCATGCCTTAGGAGGTATAAGAATGAGAAGTACAGGCTGATGCCTTCTCTTGCTGTCATTTCCTTCTTACTATCAAACCGATGTATCACACCCCAAAGTCTAAGAAACAGACAAATAAGATATTTGCACTCTGGGATAAAGCATATAAAGATAATGGAGATAAATGAATAAATAACAAAAATTAAAGCAAAAAAATTGGGCCCCTCTGTGTATCATCAGTCCCCAAAACAAAGAAAACCTGAGTGCTTTCTGTAACTTACAAACTCCACAATTTTATTCCTGACTTGGATAGAGCTGATATTGGCAATGCTTATAGATACGATAATCATCCTATGAGCAAACTGCTGTTTCTTCCCCCGAAGAGATGAACTGTGACTTTGGGAACCTTTGGTTTGTTTCTTTAAATACCTAGGGCATTTGTGTGGCAGGGCAGGGGACATCTTCCTGATGTCTGTACTCCCCTGCAAAACCTATTCTCTCCTTAAAGCATTTATATCTCTGAATCTCCCTTTCACACACTCGGCCAGAATGTATACCTATGAGGGCAGGGATTTTTGTCTGTTTTGTTCACTGCTGTGTTTCTGGCACCTGGAATCATGTGTGGGTTATAGTAGAAGCTCTGTAATATTTGTTAGGTGGATGAATCATATGCCCTATAAAAGCTGGTTCAATTTACTCCACAAATACTAAACAAATGCCTGGATGCCTACTATGTGCCACATAGTGGGGATGTGGGAAGTGAAGAGATCAAACCCTTGCCTTCAAGGGCTACCAATATATAGGGGGTGGAGGGCAAATAGCCAGGCAAGTACGAGATAGTCTACCACTGCTGGGATGGGGACATGCAGGGTCTGTGGAACCCGCTAAGGTGGCCAGGGAGGGCTTCCTGGAGGAAGCTGGACTGAGAGATGGGGAGGAGAGGGCCAGAGAAATAGGACAAAGTGGGGGGCGGGTATTTCAGGAGAGGCCACAGCCTGGGCAAAGACATGCAGATGAGAAACAGTGGGAAGGATGGTAGTGAGAGCCGAGGCAATGAGTTCCACAAAGGCCAGATCATAAAAGGTCTCAAGCAAAGGAATGTGGCCTTGACCCTGAAGACAGTGGACGCCTAGAGAAGGCCCTTGCCCTCCCTGCACCAGGTCTGTGCACCAGGCGCAGGTGCTGAGCTGAAACCGGCTGCGGGAGGGTGATGCCCGCAGGCCACTCACCTGGTGTGCTGCTGGAGGTGGGAGAGCTGTCGGAAGGACTTGTCACAGTAGGAGCAGTGGTAGGGCTTCACGCCCAGGTGGATGCGCAGGTGCTGGGCCAGGTAGGAGGCATTGGCAAAGGACTTGGAGCAGTGCGGGCACTTGTGGGGCTTGGCCTCTGTGTGCGACTTGGAGTGGATCTGCATCTCGGACTTGGTGAAAAAGGTCAGCGGGCAGACCTTACACCTGTGGGCAAGGGGCAGGGGTCACACCGGGACCATTGCCCATCCCGACCTGTACAGCCCAGGGAGACCTACAAGAGACCTTGCACCTGGGACAGAGCTTCCTTGGAGGAGTCCAGGGGTCCCAGGCCCACCTGGGAAAGATGGGGGCAGACTCCCACCCTAGACACCCTCGGACCTGGAATTGAGAGCGGTTCACCTGGGGGCACACTGATGGGCAGTCTGGGGAGCAGGTTTACACCTCACAGGGAAGACAGGCCTTCCGACCCTGGTGTAGGTCTATCCGGGGCCACACCCCATGGTTCTGGGGGCAGGGGCTCTCACACCCAGAGTAAGTAGCTCTCAGCGGGTGCACGTTAAAATCATCTATGGAGCTTTCAAGAAAGGCTGACACCTGGCCCTCTGCATGTCCCCCACAAGTCAGAATTCCTGGAGGTGCGACCCTGGTACTGGTATTTTTTTAATGCTCCTCAGATAACATTGAGGTTGAGAACACTCCTTAGAGGGAGGAATTCACAGCCCCAGGCTGTGGTGGGGGCCACCCCCAGCATCCCTGCAGCTGCACAAGGACAGGCCCAGACCCTCTGAAGGGAAGCAAGACCCCACCCCTCTGGCCATTCATGCCCCCTTAGCCCTTGGGCCCCTCTTCTCAGCCCCGGCTGGTAGGCTTCCAGGGCAGCCCTTGGCGCAACCCTCTGCCCCCAACCCACCGAGCGCCCTCCTGCCGAGACCCCCACCTGTATGTCTTGCCCTCCTTGGCAGTCTCGCCCGAGGCCAGGATGGGGTAGGGGACAACGAGGACAGGCGGCCCTCCTGGGTTCTCCGCCTTGATCTTTTTGCGGCCGCGCTCGGACTTGGGGGTGCCAAGCAGGCCGTGGCCCTGGATTGTCTTGATGGAGTCCAGGAGGGGGGGGCTGGTGATCCCTGAGATGAGGGTGGGGGACGAGGCGATGAGGCGGCTCTGGCTGGTGGTGGTGGGTGTGGACGGGGTGCTGGTACCGGTGCCGGCGCTCGACTCAGATGTGCTCACTGCCGGGGTCCGCGAGGAGAGCCCCAGACCTGCGGGGACACGGGGGTGGGGACAAGGGTGAAGGGCCACTGCAGAGCCCGACCCAGCCCTGGCCACCCAGCTGCGGGACTTGCTGAGCCCCCTCTTCTCTTTGTAAATTATTACCCAGGGGCAACTGCATGAGAGCTTGTGTAAGTGTAAGATGCCTCCCATATCTAAGGACTAAACTGAGTTGGAGGACAGAGGCATCTGGAAATAATTCAAACCACAGGGAAACAAATGAGGCCCAAAGATGTTCAGATGTTCACCAGTGTTATTCATAATAGCAAAACTTAGATGCAGCTAAAATCTGTAAATTAGAGAATGGAACGATAAATAATTGTGAGCAATCTCCTCTACTGAACATTAACTGCTCACTGAAAAGGAGATTATGTTTGTAAAAAAAGAAAATTATATATATGCACAGAAAAGGTAAGTGGGGGGAGATGTACCAAAATAGGACGTGGCTGGCAGAATTAGGAGTAATTAAAAAAAATTTTTTTTGGCTTGACTGTACTTCCTGGTTCTTTGACAATGTATTTTTTTTTACTTCTGTAATAAAAATTGTTTTAAAAATAAGGGGATTAAAAACAGTATCAGGTTAAGAAGACAAAAAGACAAAAAATGGTTATCTATCATATGGTTAAAACTATTCTTCAAAACAAAAAAGCAAGAAACACGTACACTGAAAATGATAATATCCAGAGTTGGCCCAAGTATGTTTTGTGTCATAAACTGCTGGTGTGAGTGGATATTCAACTTTAACGGGGGACTGTTTGGCAATAGCCATCAAAATAGTAAGTGTATATAATTTTTGACCAAGCAATTCTACTTCTAGAAATTACCCATGAAGAAATATTTGCACATGAGCACAACGATTTGTGTGTATGGACACACAAAACTGGACACAACCTGTTTGTCCCCAACAGGGCTGTGTGAAGAGATGGGGTCTGCCCTCATTACTGGGCAGCCACAAAAAGAGGTCAGATGTAGTGCAGTGCTGCAGAGAGAATGTCCCCAGTCACGCACAATATGAACCCTATCTATGTAAGATATACATACACGAGCTACATATGGATATATAGGCAATATACATGTGTGTGTAAATGCCCAGGAATAGATCTGAGAAGAGACACACCAAATTAAATTATGCGTAAACTGCGGCTCTCTCTAGGAAGAGAGAATTTTTTGGTAAAAGGATATTTTTATACTTTGCCTATCTGCTTCTATATTATTTGAACTTTTTACCTGGTGGATTCATCCTTTTTTTTTAATCGGTGATGAAAGGATAAAATTAATTTGAGAGAAAACATGAAAATGCTAACAGTCATAGGACTGGGGCTAGTTTTTCTTTCAGCTTGTCTGCACTTTCTACATTTTCTATAATGACTATGTATTATTACGTTTATAATAAAAAATGCTCTGAATACATTTATGATGGAACAGCGAGTAAAATAAAAACAAGTTACAGTCATGGATACAGCCCTACCACAAGCTCAGCAAAACACACGCACATATTAAAAAACAAATAGAACGATGGTAAAGGAAGGAAATGGACCCAAAGGCGTGCTGCCCTGTTGGATTAGGTGCTGGAGATTATGAGGTTTTTTTTTCCCTTAGTTTCTCCTTTTCCCATATTTCCTTTAATATGCTTATATTGCTTTTTTAATATTACTTTTATAATGAAAAATATAAATTCAATAAAATCATAATAACAGGGGAATGTACAGTGTGGCTGGGGCCTGGGGAGGCTCAGCAGGCCCCGTGATTCTTGGGCATCTCTGGGAGGCAGAGGGAGTGGGAGAAAGGCATAGGCACCTGGCTGGGGGCAGCGGGGGGCCTGGGAGGAAGAGGGTGGAGCAGCAGCAGGCAGCCCCAGCCAGGGACACCTGCCACACGCCAGGCCCAGCCCAGCCTCAGCCCTTCCGGGATGGAGCCCTTCCCCACCCTTCCTCCTCCTGGGATGCCACCTCACCGGCAGTGCCAGGGGTGCTTTTCCTTCTTGCCACTCCTCACGCCTGTATCTGGTTGAGCACCAGGCCCTGCCCATTCTTCCCCTCCGTGAATCTCGGATCTGCCCACTTCTCCCTGTCCCCGCTGCCACAGCCCTAAGGCCACTGTCCTCTCTTGCAGCTCTTCATGCTGTCTCCCACCAAGCCAGCCTCCACCTCCCGGCAGCCAGATCCAGCTCTCTAACCCAAATCTGAGCATTTCCATTCCCTATTGAAAAACCTGCTCTGGCTCCCACCACCAGAGGGCAAAGTCCCCCGGGTGGAGTGTGGCCGCAGGGCCTTCACAACCTGGCCCTGCTCCTCTCACGTCTCTGAAGAACCGGGTAGAGCAAGCAGCACATGGGGTCTGTTATCATACTGCCTGCCTCCACCTTACTGTGAAACCGCCTCAGTTTCCTCATCTGCTCAATGGAGACATGAAACTGCTGTATTCCGAAGTCAATAACAGGCAACCTAATGTTACCCACCTCAGAGGGCTGCTGGGAGTAATCAATGAGTATTGGTAAACATACCCAAGGGCTCAGCTGGAGTCGGCTGCCACATTATGGTAATTACTGTTACAGGGTCGTTTGGCCTTCTCCATCCAGACTGCCCTACTCGTGCTTTCCACACACATACTCACTTTGCACACTCTGTTCCCTCTTCCTGCTCCATTTCCCTGGTTAGCTGCCCACCTTTCCTTCCCTCACCCCTAGTCGGCTCAGGGTTCTTCCCTGGATTCTTCAAGTTGTCGACATTGACCTGGTTCCCCCGCTGAGCCCCCAGTGGGGGGAGTGACTCGCCCTACACCGGGCGATGTAGCGGGGTGGGAGAAAGTCTGGTGGCTACGCTGGTGGGCCCAGCCCGGGCACCCCGAGCCCCCGCCCTCACCCCGAGCGTCCCCGCGGGCCACCGTACCCGTCACGGTGCTGGTGGCCGGCCGCGCGTGCAGCGCCACGTCGGGCTGCGGCACGGCCTGCGGGTGTAGCCCCGGCACCTGCTGCAGCTTCGGCAGCGACATGACGGCCTGGCTGCTCTCGGCCGGCGCCGGCGGCACTAGCAGCGGCTGCTGCGACGAGGCCGACGTGGGCGGCAGGTGAGGCGGCCGGATCTTCTCGGCCATCAGCTGCTCCTTGATCTTGTTAATCAGCACCAGGTTGTCCAGCTGTGGGCGGGAGAGCAGGGGGCCTCAGGGCGGGTTGGGCCCCTAGCCCCTCATCCCTCCGGCGGCAGAGCAAAGCAGCTCCAGGCGGTGAAGGGCGTGCTGGGTCTTACCTGGCTGGGCATGGTGGGAGGAGGGGGCCAGAAGTAGGGGTTGTTAAATCGAGGCTCGGCCATCCTGCAGAGAGAGAGCGACTGTTACAGGGAAGATGGCCCAGCCCGCCCGCTGCGGAGAGTCCCCGTCAGCTATACCCTCTCAGGTCTGGGCCAGTGTATGAGATCCCTGCCCCCGAGGGACCCTCACTTCCAAGCAGAGGAGGCCTCCTACCCGGCCCAGGGAACCCCATCTCCAGGCTGAAAAGTGTGGAATTCAGTGGGCTCAAGGGCAAAGGTCACATCTAGACCAGAGTGCTCCCAGCAACCTCCATCACCCCGATGCCAGCAAACCAACCCCCATTCCTGAGAAGGGCCCCAGGCAGCAGCATCCACCCCATGGAGCTGTGAATTCCACACAGAAACCCCCCACATCTGGAGACAAACTGGGGAGTCTTGGGGTAACTGTGTAAATGACCACAGAGCAGAGGCAACTGCCCACCCAGATCCCGGCTCTTGAATGCAGGCATCCTCACCAGAACACAGGGGGCAGCGAGGGGCATCAGATACAGCCCTTCCGTAGGGCAGTGTGGCAGGATGACTGACGGAGACCTGGAGGATTACTGCCCTTTGACCTAAGAAATTGTACCTCTGGAAAGTAACCCTCAAGAAACAAGCATGGATGTGTGCAACATTTGACCTGCAAGGACGTGTCAGAACACTGTGCTTAAGGAGGGAGGTGAGGGCAGTCTGGGGCTCTTCAGCAGAAGTGTGTGACCATCTGTCTGGTGGCCATCACCTCTGCCAAGTTCCATGGCAGGTCTGTGCGGTTAGGCCTTTTCAACCAGCCCTGCAGCCCTAGAGTAAGTCTAGAAGTGACTTAGAGGGACCATGTCCAGCAGAAGTAGTCCATTAAGTCCAGCTGCCAATCAAATTTCTCTTATGTCTCCTCTACAGAAATCACTAACTAAATACCTACTGGTATTGTTGCTTGAATGAAATTGTTTATTTTGACAGGCAAAACCAAAATGAAGTGTCTTCAACTTCTTTTCTTGGTCTCAGGTCAAGCCTGAGAAGCCCTACTGGAGTTGCAGGCAGGTTTCAGGAGAAAACCCTCAATAAGGATATAATCTAATCTCAACACTTTAAGAAAGCTCTTTGAAGTATCTGTGATCTTTATTTGAGAAGTAGGCACAGGAGATACTATTACTCCATTCTGCGAGGGAAGAGACCTGTCCAAGACCACAGGGCTAAGGTGCCAAAGTCAAGACTAGAAATCAGATTTGCTCAAGCTGGTTCCTCTGAGGAATTTGCTTTGCAAACCCGTCCTTGTTCGAGCAGATAACCACATGCAAATGGCTCAATACCTATACACAGCAATCCCTGCCTCTCAGTCCCAGTCTGGGGGCCAGTTTGGGTCTGAGCCTGACCAGGCTAGGGGTCAGGGTATCCTCTTCAGGGCTGTCCTAAAGAGCCCTCCTGCTTCTGCCCCCCACAAATGCCCCTGTGGCCCTTCCCTCCTCCCAGCCAACCCTGCCCATCCCTCACAGCCCAACACAAAACAAGTGCACTACCTGCCTGCAGTCCTCCCTGACTGCTCTAGACCCCTGGAACCTTTCTGAAAGGTGGCAAGCCACCTTTTTCAGAAAGACCTCAATGCAATATTAACGGTGAGGAGGCTGCCACTTACTGACTGCCCACCTTGTATCAGGCACACTGACACTTAAAAGGCAGGTACTCTCATCATCCCTATTTTACAACCAAGGAAACTGAAGTTCAGAGAGGCAGAGTGACTTGGTCAAGGTCGGTCACACAGCAAGCAAGCAGAGAGCTGACATTCCCACTCTAACGTGCCTGACTCCTAAATCTAACTCACCAGTCCCCTTCCCTGTTCAGGGAAAGGAAAAGGCACCCTGACTGCAGGCTTGTGAATATGCGCTATCTTAGGATGACGTGGCCATGGCCACAAGGGCAGGCACGCACTCATCCAGCAGCCTCAGGACCTGTCCCTCTCCTGCTTTTGGTCACCTGGAAAACGTGAAGGGCCCTGGACTGAGCTGTGAAGCCAAGGTGAGGAGGCTCCAGGGCTGGGGGATGGGAAGCTGGGTGATGGTTAGGATTCGGCTGCCTCAGAGAAGCCTGGGAAGTGGAGACACCTGTCTTGTTCATCTTAGTATCCACCGCTCCCAGACCCAGAGGTTATCAACAACATGAGTTTCATGACAGAAGGAATAAATAAAGGAATAATAATCAGAATTATTTTAAAGACAACCCCACACAATTACCCAGCACCGCTGACCATTTACAAAGGTTTTCTGTGCCCACTGGCATTATCAGAGCCGGCGGAAGCAGGGAACGTGGTCCCTGCCACTTCACAGAGGAAGATGCAAGGGCACCAGAGGGGGAGCACCCGGCTCCAGGCCACGGGGCTGGGTGAACAGAAGGGAGCATGTGGGGCATCAGCTCTCTGAGCCTCATTTTTCCTTGTCTATAAAATGGGGTGAAACAGGCTGTTTTGCCTTGTTCCCACCATGGCCCAGGGCTCTGCCCACTGCACCCAGCTATTCCTCAGACGGTTCTGGTGAGCTGTCCTCTCTTTCTCCTCTTCAGTTCAATGCCAAGTCCAGGCTTCTTAAAGCCCCACCCTGGTCAGAGAGGTATGGGGAAGAGGGTGGCTTGCCTAGGGCGCAGGGCAGGGATACAGCATCCTCTCTGCCACTGGTCAAGCAGGGCCCAACCCTCACCCTGGCGGGGGAAACAGGCTCACAAAAGGAAAGGGTCTACCCTGGGTCATTTAATCTGATCCACACAGCCTCTGCCTAATTCTCTGCATCTTTCTCTGACTAGTCTTAACTGATTTAATGATTTGGTTAGTGCCTCTGACCCTGGTATACACCCTCTGTGTCAGGTGCAGGGAAGGCAGATGGGGGTGAACATTTGCTGAGCTCCTACTGAGTGTCAGGCACATTGCTGGGTGTGCATCGAGTATCTCATGTGAGCGCCCCCCAACAAGCCTGCAAGGTGGGTGTCCCCCTGTGCAAATGCTGGGACCTGCGTGACACAGAGGGCCATGGCAATAGGTGAGGGGGAAGGTGGCCAGGCCGGGCTAAGCTGCTCAGACCTTGTCTTGAGGGAGGGACTTTAAGCAGGAGAGAGACTGGTCAGATGTGTGTTTAGCACTGGTGGATAAGGCTGAAGGGTACCTTCAGCAGAGGCAATGAATTGAGCAGAGGCATGGAGGTATTAAAGTCCAAGGCAGGTTTGGGACAGTGATTGGCCGCCCACCAGGACCCAAGAAAGAGCTCTGAAGAGTGGTGGGAGGGTGAGAGACAGAAGCCAGTTGGTAGGGCCTTGAATGCCATGCCAAGGTATGGGGATGGAGGGCCAGGGGCAGGGCCCATCCGAGAGTGTGCTGGGCCAGGGGAGCAGCGAAGCTAAGGGGACTGAGGTCAGAAGTAGAAGCCTGTGGGCAGTGCCTGGGGCAGAGGGGCTAGGCGGGCTGCGGCTGAGCGTTTCTGCTGGGAAGGGCAGAGGAGACGTGCTGGTGGTCAGGCAGGACATGAAGCCTGGGCTTCAAGCCCCAGAGAGAGGTCAAGACCCTGTGCTCTGAGCTATCATTTCATTTTTCTTGCTCTAAAAGGGGAGAAAAGCTGGATGGGTGATGAATGAACTACCTCCTAGAGCTGCCTTGAAAAACAGCATCCTGATGGCAGCCGGCCCAGCCACCCAGCCACCCGTCTGTCCAGCCACTCATTCTGGATACATCCTCTGGGCACCAGGGTCCAGCACTGGGGAATCTGAGGCAAACGGAGGAGCCCTGCCCTCTGGGGGCCCCAAGCTGAGTGAAGGAAGGAGACACATGACCCACAAGCTTCTACAAAAAAGAACTTCTGCTTATGAAACCTGCTACACGCCACCAAGGACCTCCATGTAGTCAAAGCTGCAAGCCACCTTCCGGGCCATCCTTCATGGCCTCTTGCCCCCTGGCCCCTTAAGATGTGTGTGCTGTGACCCAGGCTCCTCATCTTCTGTCTCCTTCACAGCTTCCTGCCCACAGGCGAGGTTCCTCAGAGTGGGCTGAGCCTCCTCTCCCACTGGCCTCAGACCTTGGGTGGCCCATCCCCTCTAGGACTTCAAATACCTGCCCATCTCCAAGTCTCCACCCCCAGACCAGGCCTCCCACTAGATCCCCAGGCCCACCTTTCCAACTACCTCCCTGCCATGCCTGTTGCCATATCGTGGCCTGCTTGGACTCAGCAGGGCTAAACTGGACTTGGTCTGTCCCTAAAATGTGCACCTCCTCTAGCCATCCCCGATTCTGAGCAGGGCAGCCCCATCTGCCCATAAATCCCTGCCACAGACACACACTGATCCACAACACGTCCCTCCTGCCCTCCCAACTCAGATCCACCACCAGCCATGTCCTCAGGATTTCATTTCTAAAATCTCTCTCAAATTCACTCACTCCTCTCCATGAGTCCTAGCTTCTTTTGTCTCACCGGGACCATGGAACAGCCTGCTTTGTTTAGAGCCCAACACACCCAGCTTCAAATCTTGGCTTCCAACTCACCAGCTATGTGATCTTGGGCAAGTCACTTGCTCCTGTCCCCCAAGAAGGGCTGAGCAGTCCAGAGCCAGGGACCTGACCCAGGATGGAGAGAAAGGGTCTGGGAGGTCTTCCCAGTGGATGTGATGCCTGCTTTGGGTCTTGAAGGATGAGTGGGAGTTAGCCAGGCAAAGAAGGAGTGGGGCACATTCCTGACAAAAGCAGAGACCTGAGCAAAGGCCCAGAGGGGAGAAGCAACACAGTGAAGGGAGCTAAAGTGTTCCATGTGGACTAGGAGATGGGGATGAGGCTGTAGGCACCAGCCAGGGCCAGGCCTAGAAGGCTGACTCCTGAATCCTAGGCCTGGAGTCTGGACTTGCATCAGTGGGTGATGGGGCAGTATCTGTGGCTTAGAAAGACCCCTCTGACTGCTGAGTGTTGGCAGGACTGGAGAGGCTGGGAGAGGAGGCAGCAGAAGGTCACCCATGAGAGCCCCTGGGGAACGAATGGGGCTCTCCTGGCTAGGGAGCAGAGTGACC